CTCCCTTTACTAAACCAACTTATTCATATTATTAAGGAATAGTGGTCTGAAGCCTTCTTGAGTTCTTTGTGTTAATAGAGTTACTTCCCTTGATTAATAAAAGGCTTTGATCCTAGATGGAATTCTGGGATGGAGTGAAATGGAAGATGGCTGTTTTTAATTAGCTCTTCTGATTGTCATAAACAATCCAGGCCATCTTGTGGCCTATACACCCCAATACCACACAAGAATACCACTCCAGAGTTTAAAATCTATTTTATGTAGCTTCATTAGTCATGTAACTAGATTTTCTGTATGTATTATAGCCCTGGAGCTGTTTTGAATGTGATATCTTCACGTAGTAAATCATCTTTAAGTGGCTGGTTATTATTGTTTAATCCCAGTAGAGGAACAATAGCTTATGTAGTAAGTATAAAAAACCTTTTCTCATACTCTAATATCTTACCATAATAACAAGTTCACTCAATCTGATTATAACACAAAACCTATTTCATTTTGTTTTTTATATTTCAAAATTTCGTTTTATTTGTCTGTACTACACCAGGATCTGGAAGAGTTGTTATATAAAAAGTGTTCTGGATGGCGTGACAGGTTAGCCAATGAAACCATCTGTTACAGCGACTTTTTGGCGTGCCATACAGGGGACTGTGGGTAAACCACTAGAAACGTCAATGCTGATTGATTAATCAATGTCTGACATCATAGTGTCAAAAGCCGCTCGTACGACCCCTGACGCGACCTTCCAGTACAACTGGTCAGATCTTCCTGTAGTGTAGGACATCGAAAGTATAAAAAAACGAAATGAAATATAGATCTGTAGCTGTCTAGTCGTTCGAATGTTTGCATTAGCATGCATGTAAAAGATCCCTAGGCAGTCAGAATTTGATATAAGAGTAAGCCATAGGCAAAATTTCCCTCATAGAACACTGTATAGTATATGCCCGTCTTCATAAGCCCAGTCAGAGCAGAACAGTAGGACGTTAAACCCCATTTCATTTCTTTTGGGGTCCTCCTACACTTATTATTAAGTTTTTAATTATTTAATATGAATGGCTAAAGTACAATTTTTGTTGAGTTTTGGCACTATAGAAATTGACACTGATTAACTGAGTTGGGTTCAGTCCATCTTATGGGAAGTTATGCTATTTATATTTTTATTAGATTCATCTAAGTGAAAAACAGTATGGTACATTAGGACCACGAGAAAATTTTACACAATCAGTCATTGTAGGAGGTAGGTGTTGTCACTCATGCTTGATATTTATAGACTCTTAGTCTTTCATTACCCCCTGTCCTTATTCCTCATAAATTTTTTTATCAGGACAGATTGTTTTTTGACACCTAACATTTAGGTATTGTTCAATGGTCGAGAGCGAGACACTAAGATATATATTGTAACATCGAAAAGACCGTAGGCCCGAGTGTTTTTACAATATATTACGCATGTCTTAAGCTTGAGACTAATAAGCGACTTAAAATACAGACACTCCACACATGCTTTTACAGTGAAATATGTGACGCGAGTCTAATATTTCACTAGTATAAATAATGTACCATTGGCAAGTTGCCCGTACAATTATTTGAAATAATGGTATGCCAACATCAAAGGGTGACGTCACATCTGTATTTTAATTCTAATTAAAATGTCATTTTGCAAAATCATGCTGTAAAGTAAGTGTAGGGTACGTATGCGACACCCAAAATATTTTTGGGTTCAAAGACTGTTATATATTATCAGTATTTGTTATCCCCCCTGCTCTGGAATGGCTATGTGTTTTGTACATAAGAGAAGACATTTGTTTGAATTGAAATGGTCATTTATTTTCCTAAACCATACACCATAAACCATCCATAGAATAATAACAATACTTAGCTAAATAAACAACGAAAATTTTCCAACAAAGACATGTAATAATCAAAATATAACAAAAAGTACATAAAATATTAATAATATCAAAATAGTCCAATATAGAACCAATCCAATTTAAACATGCATTAAATACCCCATTATGCATAAGATGGGGTGTCTAATATGACCACAAAAAACAGTCTTCCGAGCCCCGCACATTATACTTTTACTAAAAGTATCTGATATCAATCATACCTCTTACACCACTAACAACAGTCATCCATATCGGCTGATTTAAAAGATGGGGTATTTAATACGGCCACAAGAATTGTTGTCAAACAACAATCACCACCTGAACCGACCCCAACTCCCCCCACCCGAATCCAATATATATCGGCTGATAATTTAACTAAAATGATCTGATATCAATATAACACCTGTAGCCTTTGTCTCTAGCAAATATATGTCATTATATAACACCTCTAACCCTTGTCTCTAACAAATATATATATAACACCTCTAACCCTTGTCTCTAGTAAATATATGTCATTATATAACACCTCTAACCCTCGTCTCTAGCAAATATACATACATATATAATTGTAGGGATGGATGTTGAGATTGAATGGTTTACGGTAGATACTGGAAGGACGTACACTGAAGAAGCTATTAAAGATGAATATTCAAAAAGAACAGGTGAAAGCCGATTTTTCCACAGGTAAGTTCTTATTGAAGTGAGCTATTACACATAAATAATGTCTCATGTTTGTAAACCAAATTGTCTCACATTAGATCTTAAGGTCTGTCATTGGGTCATGTTGTGTGGTTTCCTTCTGCTGTTAAAGACTCCAACATCCAAACAGACTATTTAAATAAAAAGTTAAGTCTCAAAATAACCTGCTTTCTGACCCCATTTCACATGTTCAGTTGTTGATATGGAGTTTTTTGTGCTGATTGAATTTGAAGACAATCAACAATTTCTTTTTGAGAGAAATAACATTTTTGTCTAGAAGAGCATTTGGAAGCAGACAGTATGTGTTTCATGCTTTGCTCTGTGTGATATTGAATAAAATATGTGTTGTATTTTGTATAGATTGAGTGTAAATAATATGTCAACTACGTCTGTAACACCAGCTGGGATGAGTCGTCTGCTAAAAACATCAACACCATGTAAACCATCGGTAAGTTACATCATTATTTTCCAGCATGGTTCCCCTTGTTAGTGGTGCAGGATGGAGGGCCTGGCAAAGGGACAACATATAGTCGTTTGGATGGGACAAAACAACAAGGTCCTGTTCACACATTGGTGTGCATGTAAAAAAGCCTTTGGCAGTTGGAATTTGATATAAGCTGTAGTGCCGCTGTCAGGGCAAAATTTCCCTCTTAGCACATCTTCTTTAGCCCAGTCAGAGCAGAACTGTAGGACTTTAAACCCCATTTCATTTCATTTCTGACAAATTGGCTGCTCCTATTTAAGCTAATAGTATAAAAAGCACGTAATACCAAGGTTGTGGTTCCTCTAGAGGTGACAATTTTTATCTGATTTTGATGAAACTTAAAATATATGTTTATGTCTTAAAGATCTCTCTGCATGTCGACTGTAAAAGCTTTTTAAGCTTGCTCTCTGTCCATCTCTTGCAAAATGTGGTTTTATTTTGCATGGCAACTGCTTGTTTTATATCTCACACCAAGGTTTTTTCTGAGGTTAATTTAAACACCAGGTGAATTAAAACAAAGGTTCAATTTTAAGGATATACAACTACTGGATTTATTACTATGATCGGGTCCATTGTGTAGATAAATTGTACCTTGTTTTATTTATACAGATAGGTTACAGTATGGATGTGAAAGTGAATGGTATACACCAAAATAGCTTTTGGTTAAAAAGGGGCAAATATCAGGTGTATATACCTGTTTTGAAGGACAGAAGGGATCAAACAACATGTATTATACGAAACCCTAAGTTCCCGGTAAGTCCAACAGCTGGGTTAAACCTTAGCTATGGCTCTATAGCTATAATGCAGTTCTTTCTAACGTTAGCAATGACTCTATAGCTATAATACAGTTATTTCTAACCTTAGCTATAATTCTATAGCTATAATACAGTTTTTTTAGTATGGTGTTGTCTTATTTCAGACTGTAGGAGTAATAGCATAACAAAAACTTGAATTTTGCACAATACATTTGGCAGATTTTAAGACGTTTAACTATCCAAATTTCTTTATTTGATGTTTTAGACATTTAACTATCCAAATTGTTTTATTTTTTGTTTTAGACATTTGACTATCCAAATTGTTTTCAAAGAGGAATGACTGTAATAGCTGATTTACAACAAAATGGGTGAGCATTGAATTAAAATTTATACAAATTATGGCAGAGTACAATTAATTTTTCCATTACTTTGACTTTCTTGTCTGTTTTGTCATATTTTTGTTGGGATAAATGCTGTCTACAACAGACAGAGCAACATCTGGCCATGTCATTTCTCCAAACCTTATAGGAGTTTGACCATTTAAATTTTTAGACACACAAAACTAGTAAAATTTTAACCATGTTATCCTTTCCTCTTCTAAACAATGAGTATTCAACAAAACCAGACAGAAAGTGTCAATGAAAAGACTCTTTGTTAAGTCTTGTCCAAAATATCCCCCAAAACGTCAACAAAAATGACTGTGTAAAAGGGGAGAAAAGATAGAGCAAGTAAAATACTATAAATGGAGGGAACAACAATCATGGATCCCACGATAGTGAAAGTAATTTGTGGTCTGCATCCATATAGCAGTGAAGTAAATAAAGAATGTGTTATAAATGTCTATATTGTAGTGAAGTATATACAGAATGTGTTATAAATGTTTATATTGTAGTGAAGTATATACAGAATGTGTCATAAATGTTTACATATAGTAAAGTATATACAGAATGTGTTATAAATGTTTATATTATAGAGAAGTATATACAGAATGTGTTATAAATGTTTATATTGTAGTGAAGTATATACAGAATGTGTTATTAATGATGTTATAAATGGTGGTAAAACCCTGATGATAGAATATAATAATGTATCTGCTGATGGTACTGAATCAGAATGTCTACAAGTGGATGTTAAATCTAAGATAATACAACTAGCTAATGTTAAAACTGAGATGATACAAAGTGGATTAGAACCAATAGAAGGACAGGATCAAGTAGATAATGTTGCACCCACTAAAAAAGTCATGCTAGAACAACTGATATCAGATGTTAAAGGAAATGATATTACTCTAGGTAAAGGGTTTAGTCGTAGTGTGTGTGTGTGGGGGGGGGGGGGGGGATTATTGACCTTTACAACAGAATTTCTGATTCTAGACAAAACAAATTCTGAAATTTTTTTTAATCAAGTCAAAAATAAAAATTGGTAAACAAGATAACTTTGAATTGGTTTTTAACTCGAAATCATAAATTTGGATATGTCAAACAGCCTTAAGTTAGATATGGAGCATATTCTTTGTTAATTCCTTATTTAATATTAAAAAATTAGAAATCGAGTTTGACCAAATTATTTCAATAGCATTTAGTAAATGAATAAGAAATACCCAGGACACAGTTCTACGGAGTTAGAGTTAATTATGTTTACTGAGCTACATATTTTCATCTGAGATTAATTTAATAAAGACCTAGAGAACAATTGGAAACATCACTTTATATTATTTCTATTGCGTGAAGGGTGGTTGGGTAGTCTAGTGCTTTAATGTGTGCGCATGAAATCACAAGGTCTGTCATTGAGTCGAGTAGCATGGTTTCAATTTCCTGCTTGTACATGACAAGGACTAGGGTTACCTGTTCACCCTCATGGTTTTTCTCAGTCCTCCGGTTTACTCCCACTGCTAAAGACCCCCATGCACAAGAGAATTATTGAAATAAAATTGAAACATGTTAGTCACGCAATGACCTAGTTTGTGTCAAGTGGACATTAAACTCCATTTCTCTCTCCCTCTATTGCATGAAAGTTTCCTGGGAGTTTTACCAAGTTGAAAACTATTGAAGATGTTATGATCCTGTTTTGAAATACTTTTTATTTATGTTTATTTACAGGTAAGCCTATGTTGAAGAAAAGAGGATACGTTCCTGCACCATTTTATCTGGTCACAAAGGTAGAATTTTAGTTCTGATTATACTAAAGTATTTCTGAAATTGTTATCCCACACTAGACAAATGTTAAGTTGGGAATATTTGAATTTGTTCCTTTCGTCTTTCTGTCACACTTTTTTTTGTCCATTCAAGAAATCTTTTATAGTTGTGTCATTTACTAATTTTCCCACCTGGGTCCTCTTGTCAGGAGTGCAAGATGGAGTGCCTGGCAAGGGACAAGGTATGGAAAGAAAAACTGAGGTCCCGTGTACAGGTCCGTGTACAAATTGGCATGCACGCAAAGGATCTCTTAGCATTTGAAATTTAATATTAGAGTAGGCCATAGTGCCGCTGTACAGTAAAAATTTTCCTCATTGCACACTATATGGCATATACCTGTCTTCATTAACCCAGTTGGTGCAGAGAACAGTAGGATATTAGAAAAGAAAAACAAATTACACCAGTATAAAAGCCATTCCCAGATATAATTATATCCAAAATTTATTACCTGCTTGTCAAGTATCCTCAAATCCTGAATTTTAGATGATTCTACTAAATTAAAATAAAACATTTAATACTTGTAAATTTACTGTCTTTATTGTTGTGTTGTAGGACAGTCAAAAAGTAATGGAGCTGGGTTTTGACAGTCGATGGAAGGAAAATCTGTTAATAACTAAAGCTACTTGTAAAAACATACCAACAAGATTAACAGGTAATAACCATTACTGTTTGTTGTTTTACCTTATATGGGTATATACCTCCACTTCATCAAATGTCAACTACATGTCTGTCACTATACTTTACGAGACATTAGGAGAAACCATGCTTAAAAATCACAAGGAAATTTCTCGTCCAATACTAAGATCAAAGCTATTTTTTCGTGGTTATGACGCAGCCCCTGACTCACAGAGTCAATTCTGATTTATTCTACCTTTTCCCCTAAAATATTTAGTCTTTGTGAATTTGTCCAAATTTTATGCGAAAAAGGGGGACGTAAACATGCCTTTTGCTGTGGTATGTTATTAATTAGAGTTAGTAGAAGGTGTATCTTCAGACAGACATATGACATATTTAATTTTGTTTTATTTCAGTTCAAGGACTACAGCAAGTAGAAGCTGTGGTAGACGATGATAATTTTAATCAAAATATTTTACCTTCTCTTAAAACACTGGCCATTTATTTACCATCTGGTTTAAATACCAACAACCTATCAACACCGTCTGCTGTCAAAATGTTTAGTGATATTCAACTACATCTTCTGTGTAATCCAGGTTTGTAGAGAAACTTCATTTCTTAAAGGGTTTTGTGTAATCCAGGTTTGTAGAGAAACTCCATTTAAAGAGTTCTGTGTAATCCAGGTCTGTAGAGAAACTCTATTTCTTCTTAAGGTGTTTCAGAAATGGGTCAAAATTGAAAAATTGATTGATGACCCCTTCCCCCCCCCCCACCAATATGTTTTAAGGTGATTTGATTAAGGTATATACAACTATATCTTTTTTTCTCGAAGTTGGATTCAATTAGACCCTGATCCCATGAATTGAAATAAATAACAGCTCAGTTGGCTGTTATATCTAAAAGAAATAAGAACAGACATTTAGAATTTTATAGAAGAGTGTCCTTCCTGTATCTGATCAAGGAGTCCATTACCTCAAGACAATTGCTACAAATCTTCCCCTCATTTATACACAAACTATATTTACTGTGTCTCTGTATTTAAGGAAAACCAGAAATGGAAGAATTTAAAGGATTATTTAACCCTCATTTAGTTGACATGCCACCAAGTAATTTACAAAAGAAACTGTCTGCAGATGAACTGTATGGAAACGTAGCTGTTGGAATAGCTTACACACAACTTACAGCTAGACGAGTAAGCAAAATAAAAACCTAAAAATTAGGCCATTTAAAATAATATTCTGGTTCTCAAATAATCCTGCATAAAGTCACTTTATGAACTGTTTTTATCTCAAAAAATAAAAACAGACTCATTAATTTTTTATTGTGAGGAAGTAAATCTCATCAAAAAATCTGAATGAATCTATAGACTCATTTATAATTTTAAAACTAATAACTAATGTCATTTAGTCAAGTAGTGATCCTTTGAAAAGATAAAAACTTCCGCATAAGACTTTCGGAAAAGATTGTCCGAGAACCAGACTATTGTATGGCCTTATATAGGTTTTTATCTTTTTATTTTACTTTCAATAAGATCTGATGAAGTGAAGGTTATTCAAATTTCCATATTCTTATTTGATATTAAGAATATTTGGAAATAGTTAGCTGATTTCTAATGCCTTATATGCCATTTTTTGCTAAAAAAAAATTTAGTTTTTTTATCCATTAATTGGTCAATAGCTTTTGAGATTTTTTATGTGCATAACATGTTGTGACATAGAAAATCTGACTTTCAGTGGGTACACATTGCTACATATTATATTTTCATTTAAGGTAAATTTTTGATTCATTTTCTATTTGACGACTTCCACAGAAAGTTGCCTTAGATTGACATTGGTTTTTTATTGTATTATAACTCTTTTTTTGTCTTAAATTGTCATTGTTTTCTTGTATTATAAATATTTTTTTTAGGTGTGGTTAAGTACATATGACCAAATTTTTACAGGTGGAAAATCTGATTTAACAGAAGAAAAGGTATACAGAATGTTTAATGTTCGATCTCTGGTCTGAGAGATTGTTTAGTAGCTTTCATATCCAATGTATTTTTATGGTTGTTCTCAATGGTCAAAGATATTTAAATTACCTTCCCGCGTACAAATTGGCTGATTTGATGATATATTTGGACTAAAAACATATTCAAATTAATTAAACTATCTAACATTTGCTTCATATCCCTCTCATAACATTGTATTCATGAGGATGTACCCCAAGATATAAGAAATCTATTTTTAGAAGTCATGTTACTTGATAGGGGGATGGGGGCCACTAAATTGCAGAATGTATTTGTCATTACTTACTGTCCATTTGCCTTACATATTGAAGTCTAAGTAAATTCTTTGATTATCTTCTGCTGTCTTCTTTTTCTGTCATTTCATTGCAGTCTGGTATACGTTTAAACCCCTCAGTGTTCCAAAAATCGCCTAACCGTTCGATCAAGACATAATAACCGCTCCCTAAGTCAAGTTGACAGACATTAACAGTTAGTGATACCCTGACATTTTTGCTCAGTGCTTACCTCATGGGTATTTTTCAAGGAATCTTGTATTTCTTTAGTAAGATTGGCCGTCTCTGCTTTCCATTTATACCAGATTTGACATACTTTTAATGGAAATAACCACCCTATAAATACTATCTTGAGAATGTATCTTTAAGAGTAGGAGGGCGAGTGGGAAGAGTGCATAGCTCCTTTCAGTTGAATCACACCAGATCATAAGGTATAACACAAACCCCAGAACTCAAAGGTTGGGGGAAAATGTAGTGTTATTAATGGCAATGTGGTCAGAATTCTCAAGAGTAGGAGTACAAGAGAGCAAGAGGGCAAAGCTCCTTTCTGGTGGATTACACCAGGTGATAATGCATCCAAAGAATTGAAAATTTGCGGGGAAATTTTGCATGTAGGATGTGATGGAATGCACACTGATGAACATGAAGGTTGAGACATACAGAAAGGACTTACTGATTGGTATATCATAATTTCAATAATTCGAAAAAAAAAAATCTTTACCAGTGAAATTGCCAACTTTGCACTTTTTGAAAGAATTATTCATAGCGCATTATCTTTTACAACAATAAGTATTAATAATAACATTAATCATGTTAGGAATACAATATGTGTCTGGTCTGTTCTAGTCTTATCATTTGCTATTCTTCAGGTCCAGACATTACTATACAACTTGTTAAAAATGTACACCTCTTTATGTCATATCTACACAGAATTTTACGGAGAACTAAAAATGTCGAACCTTTTCATCAACCAACAGCAAGATAATCTAGAGGCTAATATTAGTCAAATCAAACATATCGTTGATGTGGAGACCATGAAGAAACCATCCGATCACGCTTTGATCAAATTACCCAATGATTATTACGTGTGCAACGCTCATCTCTTGTCACAACAAGGATATTTTCAAGATAAAGTGAACGAAGCCACGATGGATTTTAAACATTACGATCCATATTCAAAGGTGGTTAATACATTCGCCAGGCGGGGAATGATTATAAAGAAAATTCCAGATGAGTTTTTCAACAAATTGTCCAACCTACAAATTCTACATTTAAGCAAATGTAAACTTTTAGAAGTAATTCCCGATGGTCTATCCAAAAGTTTACAATTAAAGACACTTACATTGGTAAATTTACCGAAAATAAAGTCATTGCCATCGGATATATTCATGTCCCCTTCTCTTGAATACCTGGAAATATCACAAGTACCAGTTAAAATTATTCCATCAAAGTTTCTTGAAACAAGCAAATTGACAGTTCTGATATTGCGATCTATGGGTCTAACCAGTATACCGCATGAAATAGGCAACCTATCACAGTTGAATACACTGATATTAAACTATAACCCAATAACAGATTTACCCATGTCACTAGGCAAGCTGCGAAACCTCACAGATCTAGATATTGATGGTAAGAATTAAACTTCACTTTAACAATATTTAAAATACAGATGTGATGTCATCCTTTGATTGTTGGCATTTCAAATGATGGTATGGGCAATGGGCAAATCGTACATTATTTATACGGTGCCATATGTGTTTGATTTATAATGAGAGCCACGGTGCCAAACGTGTTTGAATTATAATTTGAGCCACAGTGGCTCAGTTAGTAAGACGTGAATCCCTGTATTGGTAGGGAAAGTTCCTCAGGATTGCCAGCATGGTTTCCCTTTGTCAGTGGTGCAGTCATTTAGATGGGACAAAAAACCACTGACAGCACTTTAAAGATCTCCTATTAGTGTATTTTTGTCAAGTGACATGGTTTCGATTCCCAGCTTGTAGACGACTAGGAGTAGGGTCCAACCTCATGGATTTTCTCTGAGTCCTCTAATTTTCTCCCACTGTTAAGGACCCTTACACACAAGCGAATTATTGAAATAAAATTGAAAGAAATGTTAGTGCCAAAATGACCTAGTTTGTGATTATGACTTAAGTAAGGAGTTGATCTGGTTAGTGCAGGAAAGTAAGACGTTAAATAATGTTAATAGTTGGTGTTACTGGGTTTTTTGTTTTGTGTTGTAGGAATGTCGTTATTAGAATATGAAAGTGGTTTTAGTGCTGATGATTTGATGAAATGGTTTCATACCAAGGCTTCTTTTTATGTTGATTACCTAGGAGAGGAGGTATGTAACACAAATATTTTATGTTTATTACCTAGGATGGGAGGTATGTTCCCCAGGTATTTTATATTGATTACCTAAGAGAGGAGGTATGTAACACAAGTATTTTATGTTGATTACCTAGGAGAGGAGGTATGTACCCCAGGTATTTTATATTGATTACCTAAGAGAAGGAGTTATGTAACACAAGTATTTTATATTGAATACCTAGGAGAGGAGGTATGTACCCCAGGTATTTTATGTTGAATACCTAGGAGAGGAGGTATGTAACACAAGTATTTTATATTGATTACCTAGGAGAGGAGGTATGTAACACAAGTATTTTATATTGATTACCTTGGGGTATTCAATATGAGAAATAAGGAATTTTGTATTCTTTGCAAACTAAAGGCATGGGGGAGGCGATTGCGATAAAAATATAAATTTGGCAATAAAATATTCTATCTGTCAAAATTTTGGACGATAAGTCATTCTTATATTTTGTGCTCTAAAAATCAAACGATAGTCTTTCGGTCCTAATTCCTAATGATCTTTTCTATATTACACAATTCTAAACAGGGGGGATTGGATGGCCAAATGGTTAGCATTTGCACGCTGTATCATAAGGCCTGTCATCGAGTCAACTGGCATGGTTTCGAATCCCCGGTTGTATGTGACAACCTCATGGGTTTTCTCCGGGTCATCCGGTTACCGTTTTCTTCCACTACTAAAGACCCCTACGTGCATGCGAATTATTGAAATAAAATTAAACCATATATTAGTCTCGAAATGACCTAATCTTTGTCGGGTGGATGTTAAATCCCATTTCTCTCTCTCTCTAAACAGGAAGTGTTTATATAAGTTTATCTTCTAATTATTATAGGTTGTACAAACTTTATTCGAGAAGTTTGATATCAATAATTCGGGAACTTTAGATGTGAATGAAGTGGCTAATCTGAATAATTATTTATTCTGGCAAGTACCAAGACTTGGGTCCAATAATATCAGTAAGTATATAATAATCAGAGGACAGGTTTTACAATTATAATGACACCATTTACTTCTCTATTCAGAGCCTAGCTAGTAGCACCAAAATGTGTAGTTATGTTCTCACAAATTGAATGTTGTAGGGTTGAATCCAAACATTTGTTTCTCAAGTCGCCCTGTTGAACTTTTATATGTTGAGTTCAATTCATCAGATAACATATATACATGATACAGTTACATACAACAAATATATTACAGTTACATTCAAACAATATATACATGATACAGTTTTATACAAACAATATATTACAGTTACATACAAATAAAATGATACAGTTACACACAAACAATATATACATGATACAGTTCCACACAAACAATAGTTTGGGGCAAAAAGAAATCTCAGTATAGCCAGAGTTATTTATGCATAGTGAATTTTGATTGGTTAACTGACAATCAAATAGTATGTAAGAAATAAAATCTTGTTTCTTTTCAGATAATGAAGAATATGGAGGAATACCACCTTGTGTGTTTCTACTCATGAGTCTAGAACATTTATCTTTAAAGAACCAGGCTATTACGGCTGTACCGGTACATATGTGTCGTCTGACTAATCTCGCTAACCTTGACCTTGCTAGTGACCCCTTGTTAGAAAGTTTACCTGGAGCTCTAGGTCATCTACCAAATATTAAATGTAAGTTTCCGTCTGTTTGTCCATGGATACCATTATATTGCAATAAACAAAAATATCATAGTCATAGGAATGGTGTAAATGTATTCCTACATCATGCAACGCTATAAAAGTTTATGTTGGCTTGTCAGACTCTACATTACATGTTAGACTGGAGGCTCAGTGCAGGGGGTGTCCATCAAATGGGCACAAAACCAGACTCAACTTTTCTTGGTAGTCAGTCCGCTGTTGGGGCGTTTTCGAGATATTTAGGGTCAAAGGTCAAATGATGACACTTGCACTGAAAGTGAATGGGCAGCCATCTTGTATCATGAAAACATGTTGAAAATGATCGAAAGTAATCACCCTTTCAATAGAAATGTAAACTTGCTAAATTTACCTTTGTTCTTTGTGACCCGGGGGTCAAAAGGTCAAATTTTCCATTGTTGCACTAGAAAGATTTATTATGAGATTGTTGCTAGAGACATCAGCCTATAACTGTTGGCTTGTCAGACTCTATATTACATGTAATGTATGTCCATATTGTACAAGACTCATATTCAAATTCTCTTCTGAAAATCTGTTAATTTGTTCCCAAGTGGTCATTCAATCCTTTATCCAGAACTAGTTTTATTTGTGAAAATACATATTTCTTTCTGTTTTAGCCATCAATTTATTCCGATGTCCATCGTTGCGTACACCACCCAATGAAGTTGTACAGAGAGGTTTTGAATCTGTTCAGGCATATTTAAAACGTTTGGCTGGTGGTTTTACGGAATGTAGACGAACAAAACTGATGTTGGTTGGATTAGGTGGTGCTGGTAAAACAAGGTGATATAGTTACTCCACTTCGATATGGGTGGGTGGGGCATGAGGGGAGGTGTTAGTTGGATTAGGTAATTACTCCACTTCAGTAGGGTATCTAGGGTGGAGTGAGGGAGTGTCACATCCAAATGTTAGGACAGAGCATTGCTTGTTGTCTACTATTCTAGATATCTTTATGAAACTCTGTATACCATTAGTTGTGCTTTTTGTTAATTAGATATTTCTCAGATTTCCTTGTAGAAACATTTTGGTTTATAGGTTAAATTACAGGTAGCTGTTAATTAATTCTGATATATAATTTGTTACAGTTTATTAAAAGCTATAATGAGTGTTAATAATAAAACAGTAGGAACTAAAGGTGAACAGATTACTGATGGTATAGATATACAACCCTGGACAATCAAGAATAAAGACAATATTGAAGTTACATACAGTACATGGGATTTTGCTGGACAAACTTTATACTATAATACACATCAGGTATACATTTCTCTTGTGAATATTTAAATGCATGTCATCTAAACATACGGGTAGACATGTGATGGTTGTGTAATTCCTATAGTATGAAATTGAATACAGTTAATTCCGGAAAATGTTAAATTAATAAAAATGCATTGGACTGAAAGAATAAACTATAGCCATAATTTGTCTATTTCCAGTTTTTCCTATCTAAAAGAGCGATATATGTATTGGTATGGTCAACACGTCAAGGATTTGAACATGCTGGGTTAGATTTCTGGTTGAGTTCCATCTCCTGTCATGCTCCTAAAACACCAATATTTATAGTTGGATCTCATTGTGATCAGGTAAAGTAGAATCAAACATCCTCAGCCATTCAAACATCCTTGTGATCAGGTAAAGTAGAATCAAACACCAACTTATAGTTGGATCTCATTGTGAGTAAGTTAAGTAAAGTCAAACAGCTCATCCACACACCTGATAGTAGGATAAAACATCTATCTTAAAGAAGCATCCATTTTTTGATTGTGATACCTTGGAAAGTATTTGCACAGGATGGCAAAATAATAAGTATACTTTAAATTGAAGTGTCAAACACCCATCTTTAGATTGTGATCCCTTTCGATTGTAGGATTGAACACCTATCCTTAGATGTTGGTGATTTTTTTTAATTTCTAGGGTCAGGTACCAATCCTTAGATTGTGATCCCTTCAAATTGTAGGGTTGAACACCCATTCTTAGATTGTGATCCCTTTAGATTGTAGGGCCAAACACCCATCCTTAGATTGTGATCCCTTCAAATTGTAGGGCCGAACACCCATCCTTAGATCTTGTTAGATTGTAGGGTCAAATACCAATCCTTAGATTGTGATCCCTTCAATTTGTAGGTTCAAACACCCATTCTTACATTGCAATCCCTTTAAATTGTAGGGTCGAACACCCATCCTTAGATTGTGATCCCTTCAAATTGTAGGATTGAACAGACATCCTTAGATTGTGATCCCTTTAGATTCTAAGGTTAAACACCCATCCTTAGATTGTGATCCCTTTTAATTTTTTTTAATGAGGATCGAACATCCATCCTTAGATGGGGATCCCTGTATTGTTTATTGTAAGATTCTAAGGTCGAACACCTGTCCCTAGATTGTGATCCCTTTAAATTGTAGGATCAAACATCCATCCTTTGATAGTGATCCCTGTATTGTTTATTGTTCAAATTGTGATCCCTTTAAATTGTAGGATCAAACATCCATCCTTATAGATTGTGATGTCTATTATGTTTATTGTAAGGTCAAACATCCATCTTTTATAGGCAGAAAATTTTTTATAGTTTTGAGCTCATTTTGTGCTATCTTACATTTATAAGATCATTAGGTGATGTTCTTATTAAACTCATATTTTCTTAAAGACCTATTTATAATTATTTAGGTGCCTAAAGCTGATATTGCTATGAATGAACTGAGGAAACTTTATCCACAGATTATAGATTTCTATTTTGTTAGTTCTATAACAGGGACGGTAAGTTTAATATTATCAATGTATTCATTATTTCTAATTTGAATGTTTAGTTCTTCAGCAAAAATAAGTCATTGTCAAGAGAATTGAAATTTCAAACCTGTTAAACCTCACTGATATTGTGAAAGGTCCAAAAATGGTTCATTTCTGTTCAATATCTATAAAGAAATGATAAATTGACAATTTGACAGCATTCAGCAAACTTTGCAGACATTATATATACAAACCAGTACCACCAGTGTAATGGGCATCTTTTTAATTTGATTGAATCCAAACCGAGAGATTATCAAATATTGTTAAATTAGATGTTGTCTGAATTTGACAAGTTATAATGGACATGAAATATAAATTAACATGAATATAGACATGATTAGGTAGTGTAAGTTAGGAAATGTATTTTATACATGAAGCATTGACAATTTGATATACTGGGGATCGGAAGTGCTGGATTATTTCAATTTGTGTGCTTTTTTAGCACATTTTGTTAGTCATTTTATTTTTACAAATTTCAGAATATTAAACAACTAAAAGATGACATGTTACGAGTAACTCTGGAACAGAAAAATATGGGAGAAAAAATACCAAAAGTCTGGCTTAATTTGGAGAAGAAATTTTTAGAGTAAGATAATCTTAGTTGGTGATATCCCTTGTGACTTTTATGTCCAAATTTACTGCAAGATTCTAATTTATTTCTATAAATCTTTTGTATGATTTGAAAATCATTTTGACTGTTATTTTTCAGCGCTAGAAAGGATACAAGTATAATGGAATGGTCAAAAATAAGACAATATGGTATGGAGGAAGGAATCTACGATGAAAAAGATGTAGGTTTTCTCTTAGAGTTTAAATCGAACATATACAATACTGAGTTGATAATGTGATCCATTTTAATTCAGAAATCCATCTCTTGCCATTTGTTTTATTCAGTATCTAATGCACAACAGTCACAACCTAATATACATATTAAGATGTCGGCTGTATATGAACAGTGACTTACAGTTACAATAATGCAGTGATGGGATTTCAAAAATTTTCTTGTCAGACATTTTTACCGAACATAAAGGGACTTAACTCTTATCATTATTTAAGCGGCCAGTTTGAGACCACACACAAAAATCTTGTAACAACAAAATATTCAAATTCGCACGTAATAAAAGTTAGGTGCACCTCGTTATTTTTCATATTTAATTCCTGTACAGTATTTAAATTTATGTCAGTATATTCCTAAAGATTTAAGTGTTGTCCTAATACGATAGATAGAATGAAAGCGTGCCGACCCGTACTTTTTATCAAATTCAAAGCAGTCATATTCCTCCAAAATTAACATATTTTTCGGCGTCTAGGCCGCCACTTTTTTCAGTAAAAGTCTGGCATACGTCACATTATTCATGAGTTCACCGTAACAATCCTATTGTATTGAGTATAAAAAATGTCTGTCACATTATTTATAGTTGTTCACTAGAACAATCCTGGTATTATTATTTTCAGATTAAGGAAGCCATTCAGTTTTTACATGAGTTAGGAACTGTACAGTATTTTGATAATGATGTATTAAGAGATAGAGTGGTGATCAACCCCCAGTGGATTGTAAATGTTATGTCTTGTGTTGTATCAGTTAAAAGCTCTCCCATTCAGGTAATTAATCTTCTATAGTTGCATCGCCGTTAATGTAGATATATGATGATTTAATTTAATTTAATTTAATTTGATTTAATTTAATTTACAATTCTAATTTAAATTACAATTTTAATTTAAATTACAATTTTAGAATTTTAATTTACAATTTTAGAATTTTAATTTACAATTTTAGAATTTTTATATTAATTTACAATTTTAATTTACAGTTTTACAATTTTAATTTACGATTTTAATTTAAAATTTTGAGTTTACAATTTTACAAATTTAATTTACAATTTTACAAATTTAATTTACAATTTTACAAATTTAATTTACAATTTTTATTTATTTATAGGCTAAAAGAGGAGAATTTCATCATTCTGACATGAAGACAATATGGAATGAATACCCTACAAGTCTCCATCAATGGTTATTACAGTTAACAGAACAATTTGATCTGACCTTTCCTCTACCACATCAAGATATTAATATAGTACCATGTCTTCTTCCACATGAAGAACCTAAACAAGCTATTGAGGTAACTTTTTCATCTTTTAATACACACGGATTATAATGTTGGTAAACTTAAAGATGTATTATATAAAAATTAGATAAAAAGTTGGCCGTTTGACTAATTTATAAATAAATAACGCAAAATGAATATTAACCGATTAAATGGTGCAGTGTTCTAATCCAATTAAAGTTGATAAAGTACAATTTAGTGCTTCTATGTTTACAGTAGATAAATACACAAATAAATAAAAAATATGTCCAGGTAAAAAATTCACCACTTAATACTTCACTCTGATATACATTAAATCATATAAGCTAGCTGTCTGCCTTCTATGGATGTCTTCACATATTAATAATGTATACAAAAAATTAAATTTTTACAATACATAAAGGATTGATCATGGCAATGAATTATAAATAATATAAGGTAACGTACAACAATAGGTTATAAAGTATATAATACATAATATGACTTTAATTTACATAGTCTTCCTGGTATAATCTAACAATAGTACAATACAGGAGTAATGAGATGAAATGATTGTCCATAGAATAATTATGTATAAGACAAGCAGATCACATCAAAAGTCCTCTCTAGGCTGAAATTTGGTTGTTTATTTAACCCTTGAATGATGATTTATAGTTGATTAATGTTGTTTATATTTGTAGACTGTCTGGCCGTCTAATGATGAATTATAATTGATTAATGTTGTTTATAGTTGTAGACTGTCTGGCTGTCTAATGATAATTTATAGTTGATTAATGTTGTTTATATTTGTAGACTGTCTGGCCATCTAAGGATTAATGAGATGAAATGATTGTCCATAGAATAATTATGTATAAGACAAGCAGATCACATCAAAAGTCCTCTCTAGGCTGAAATTTGGTTGTTTATTTAACCCTTGAATGATGATTTATAGTTGATTAATGTTGTTTATATTTGTAGACTGTCTGGCCGTCTAATGATGATTTATAGTTGATTAATGTTGTTTATATTTGTAGACTGTCTGGCCGTCTGATGATGATTTATAATTGATTAATGTTGTTTATATTTGTAGACTGTCTGGCCGTCTAATGATGAATTAAAGAAGAAAGGTAAAGAACAATCAAAGATGGTTTATAGATTCAGTTATTTACCTGCTGGTCTTTTTAACAGATGTCAGGTAGATTTAATATTTGTCCTTTCATTTTCCTTAATGCGATGCGTAGAGCATCTGCAAAGTAAAAATTCAAAAGGTAACAAACCAAGTAATAAAATAGATAAAATCCCAAAGAATGAATGGAATATAGACAACCAATTAGTTAGAGGCTGAAAATACAAAATATCTAACACATGGATAATGCCATATCGTAAACATTTGATTAAAATAGAATCTATTTCTTTAAAAAAATAATAATCACAAAACATAAGCATACTGGATCCTAATTGAGGAGGACTGTAAACAAATTATTTTTTAATGCTGGCCAAAACAGTACTGTCTGAAAATATACTGTTTTTATGTGAAAGTGCTGTTTTGTTCCCCCAATTGATTGGTATGAGACTGATAGTGTTGCTACTGCTAGTGGGTTTGAGAGAATACAATTCGTGTTTGAATATTTTTTAAAATTTATTTATTATTTGTTTGTAGGTTAGACTTTTCCAGTTTTCAAATGGGAAATCAATATGGAAGAGAGGTTCTATGTTAAATAAAAATAATCATCTTGCTCTCATCAGACAAATTAGGTAAGAACCAACTTTTCCCAAGAAACTCCTCAAACCACTTCTTTACCCATTTATTATGTAGGTGTTCTGTCACCTGGTCATCATGAAGTCTATAGTATTCCATGGGACTGTTACCAGGTCCATTCTAGGTATAGTTAACTAATTGTCATCATGGGTCTCGAACATCAGGTCATCAGAACCTACTTATATAGGCCACAATTCTGTGAAATACAATTACTGCTTATTACTGAGCGATGTTTCAGCTGTTCTTCTCTAATTATTATCAAACCTAGTCGAGTTGCATGCTTGTACAAGACAAGGAGTAGAGTAAATGCCCAACCTTGTGTGTTTTCTTCAGGTCTTCTGGTTTCCAGCTCCCACCACTAAATACCTGTATGCACAAATGAATTATTGAAACAAAATATAGTAACCCCAAAATGATCTAGTTTGTGTTCAGGGACTTAAACCCCATGGATTTCTTTGGTTTCCTCCCACTGCACAAGACCCCTAATCTCCTCTCTCTCTCTCTTTACGTTATGTTTTTTATTACAGTTAAAGTGAATTATGTTATGTTTTTTATTACAGTGCAAGTGAATTATGTTATGTTATGTTTATTATTACAGTGAAAGTGAATTGGGTTATGTTTTTATTACAGTGAAAGTGAATTATGTTATGTTTTTTATTACAGTGAAAGTGAATTAGAAATACAAGTATGTGGACAGAAACCAGCTAATATAATATTCCTTGTACATGAGATAATAGAAGGTTTAATAGAAGAATCTTTTCATGGTGTTGTTTATGATTTTCTTGTACCCTGTCCTGATTGTGTTGTAAAAGAGGCAAGTTGAACACTTTATTTTTAAACCAATGTAATTTCAAATTTTCCTGGATTTAATCCACTCTAAAATGTCTTCAAATTGATTTGTTACATTTCATGAAGAAACCAAAACATCAGTAGTTAACTTGTATTCATTCAGCTTCTTTAAAGATTTCAGTAAAGTCGTTTGGATTGGACAAAAACATGAGGTCCACTCATGTTCACATTGGCATGCCACTGTCTGGGCAAAATTTAACTCATTGTGCACTCCATAATATATATTTGTCTTTATTATTCTGGTTGGTGCAGAGAAGTAGTACATTCAACCCCTTCAGTTTTTGACATATTTTCATTATCTCAGATTAGAAAGGTATTGTTTTTTTTACAAGAATGACAATTTTTAGCAAGTGTTATATTATGTATAAAGACTATTTTTATTCTAATTTAAACTTAAAGTCTTTGAAATTATAATTTTATGACAGCTAAATTCTTCCTCCGGTCAAATAGACTCAACATTTCAAAACACTGAATTTGTCCAGTCAACACTACTTTAAAACATTTGTTTCTTTTATTTTCAGGGAACTTTAGATCCATGTCTGTTTGATTCTGATTTAGTAACAAAAGCCAAGGATCATAAAGCACCATTTCTACAATGTCGTAAATATTTCCACACCATATCCATGTCACATTTAGAAGGTAATCATTGTTCTGTTAATTCATTGATTTTAATTGAAAGTTTTATTTGATATTGTTGGGTGAGTTGGGTGGTCTAACGTGTTTGCTATAGAACATAAGGTCTGTCATTGAGTCATGTGACATGGTTTCTATTCTCATATTGAACATGGGCTGCCCCAGATATATTTTAGTACTCATAGAAAAAATGGCGTCTTTTATTTAAATCAATTTTGTCTTTGACCGTTTAGTACTTGAAACTCCAGTAACTAGATCTCCTTAGACCTCACTAGACCATCTGAGTCACTTGAAGCTCCAGTAACTAGGTGTCCTTATACTAGACCGTCCGAGTCACATGAACAGTGAACAATACGAAGAGCTGCTGACATACCAGGGGCAATTCAAGATGGTCTAAGGAACACTAGTATGAGCTATATCACTTATCTCTAATTGTTTTCAAGGAACTCGGATAATCAATATATACATATATACTGCTAAAGGGTTAAAACTGTTTTAATATTTTTAGAAACATTACCATCAAATAGTACGACCGACTTTGATGCCAATCTTCAGAGAAGTATTATCATGATGCAGGAATTAAATACAGAAATGTCAAAAGATGTGACCATTTTATACAGTGCGTCAGATATGCCAACAGACAAAGAAACTGGAGATAAAATTAATCCAAAGTGGTTAAAAGACGACCTGGAAAAAGCTGGACATTCTTGGTAAATAAAAATTTCATGTCCTTAGATTTTACATGTACATACTCCCGTTATACATTTATATAAGGGAGCTCATTCTCCCTAATCATCACAAATTTAAAAAAAGAATATTTTTTTCAATAATTATTTAATGAAATAATTATATTTAGCTGTTTTCTAGGATCATTTTTATGACTATTCAATGCAATGATTCAATGATTATTTTTTACTTGTTATCAAACGATCATCTATGTGTATTTTATTTGGTTTAACAGTTCTATGAGGACTGTTGGTATCAATGAAATAATTATATTTGACTATCTGATTGATATAAGGACTGTTGCTGGTATCAATGAAATAATTCTTTTTGACTGTGTGTTTTAGTTGGTTTAACAGTGATATGAGAACTGTTGGTATTAATGAAATGACTCTTGCTCTAAAGAATTGTAAGGTAAGTAGTTTATATGTTGTAGTTAATATCAGCTTCAATATTTATTTATGGTACTTGAATAACATTGAGTGTGATTTTATACATTTCAAATATCAGCAGCCACATTTTATATATAAAACATTATTTTGCGATATTCAAATGTTTTAACAGTTTGTTTTGGCTCTGATGTCATGTTTTTACAGGTGGTTTGAACTCTCATATCTAATAATGTTTTTAAAGGTTGTGTTAGCTCTTATTATTTTATATTTCTACAGGTTAATTTAACTCTGATGTGATCTTTTTATATGTTTTACAGGTTGTTTTAGCTCTGATTTCTGATAATTTTGAACGAGATGAGAAATGTCGTGATCTGTTGTTATATACAATAGATGGTTTAACTAAACAATATGTTATAGCACCTATAGGTAATAGTCTAGCCTGGTTTAAAACAGATCTAGGTATGAGGATTGGACAACAAGAGGTACGTCTACATATTATATTGTTATATGTCAAGCAAAAATTAATGAATTATGCAATACTATAAAACTGTGTAACTTTACCATACTCTTAAAAATAGCAATCACTCCCTTAAATCTTTTTTTTACACCTGGGTAGATAGCATACACATTCTGGGAACGGTTCTGACTCCACCAAGAGGGTATGTAAACAGGGGTATAGTTCAGAATGAAATGGTGTTTCATGCCCCCTCAAGTTTTAGGAGTAGTGCAAGGTAATTTATATTTTATGGTTAAGTATATGAAATGTGGATTAGATTATTTTTAGGTATCTTTTCTGTGTACTCATTACCCATAGTTATTTGTTATCTATTTATTTCAGCAAATGATTATGATTAAAAGTAAACAACGTTATGCAGAGAAAATACCAGAACTGAAAGAAGCCATAGCAGATAAACTAGCTGGTATAGTTAAAACGGTAAAATTATTTTGTTATACATTCAGGGGGTTGAATGTCCTACATTTATGCAATAGCTGGACTAACAAAGATGGGTATTGGCCATGCAATGGGCTATGAGGGATTTAAACCTACTATTCATCAAATTTGAACTGTCAAGGGTTCTTTCAAAGATTTAAAGAGGCTGACATATCCTAAATATTTATAATTTATCCATTCTATTATATTTTCAGGAATTGAAGGATCACCCAGAATGTTTTTTAAGTTATTGTTGGGCCAACTCCCATGATGCTGTTGAAAAGGGATCTAAGAAAATTAAAGGAGCATTGGGCGATTATGATCCGAGAGCTATTAAAAAATATTTAGCTGAAAAAGGAATCAACGTCTGGTTAGATTATGAACAGACAACAGTGGTAAGTTTATCTGGCAACAATACAAGATGAATTCAATACCGTTAACTACACAAACCTTCGCAATCGGTACAAGATGAATTCAATACTGTTAACTACCAGAACCCTGACATTCAGTACAAAATAAAGTCAATACTGTTAACTACTAGAACCCGGGCAATCAGTACAAGATGAAGTCAATACTGTTAACTACCCGAACCCTGGCAATCAGTAAAAGACGAATTCATTACCATTAACTACCTGAACCCTGACAATCAGTACATGATGAATTCAATATCGTTAACTACCTGAACCCTGGCAATAAGTACATGATGCTTTTTTACAAATCTGAGTCTAGGTGGTTTAGGAAAAATTGGGGTTTTGTGATGGTCTAACAGCACAATGCACCACAATTTTGAAAACTCAAAGTGAGCAGCCAGAAGTGAACAACAAGAACATGATGCAGTACAATTTTAAAGGAAACGTCAGACTTTATCTAAATTTAAGCTTGTGAATACTGGGTGTTATCGGGCAGCCTATTTTTGTTGGTATCTTGAACCATAAGCAGGTGTTTGATTTAGTAATATTATTTATATTTGTAGAATCGAGGTTTATATGATAATATATCTAAAGGTTTAAGACATGCTAAAGTTGTGGTAGCTTGTGTATCAGATGAGGTAGGTTCTATTCTCTTATATACCCTGGGAACTCGCTATATTACATGGGTAAACATGGCTCCTGCCATAGTCTAATATATCAGGGACTTGTTGTTAGGAAAGGGCCAACATGTCACCCTACTATGTCAGTGCTTCACTCACTATAACCCAATAACATTTTTTTTTTGTTAAGCACTTATTTGGTCTAATATCTGGAACTTGTTATGGTGAAGCACTCAGGGACTTGTTATAACCTAACAACATTGTTATCATGAAGCACTTCAGTCTGATATATTGGGGACCGGCTACAACCCAAAATCATTGAAGTATTGTAGTCTAATATATTATCAGGGACTTGTTATAACCTATAAGAACATTGTTATTATGAAGTACTGTAGTCTTAATATATCAGGAACTCATTATAACCCAGCACCATTGTTACAGTTAAGCACTTTGGTCAAATATATCAGTGGACTTGTTAATTATTAACAATTACTACCATAGTTTTATATAATTATGTTATTCTATTACAGTATGTCAATTCCAAGAATTGTATGATGGAGTTAAGATTTGCTGTTTTAACGTTAAATCTACCGATAGTGCTAGCTATAGTAGGTACGGGTCGAGAGTGGAAAGTCTCTGAGGTAGGCATATTAACTTACTTGAGAAAACAATTACCAACAGTCCAAGGGCATATATTCTAATTTTGAAATCAATAAATAAACAAAAGTAGAAAATACTATTTTTGATAATTGTAAATTGGTATTAGATGTTCTAGAATGAGTAAGTATATATACCCATCACCAATTGGAGCAACAGTAGATATGTTTTCATTTGGAGTCAGAAAATAGACCTCTTTTAGCTCTTGTAAATTAATTAATAACCCTTTAGATATTTATTTATATTCAGGATTCGTCATTCACTCAATAAATACCCTGGCTTCTCGCCTAGAATATGCTGGGTCTGAATACTGGTATTTCCTACCCAGGTCTCTCTTATCATATGGTCAATATGTGATCCAGGTCTGTCATTGACTCAGATGGCACGGTTTCGATTCCCTGCTTGAACCTGATAAGGAGTCGGGTAGGCAGTCCAACCTTGGCGCAAGTGAATTATTGAAATAAAATTGAACCATATGTTAGTCCCAAAATGACCTAGTTCGTGTTGAGTGGACGTTAAACCCCATTTCTCTCTCCCTTTAAACCTGTTTCCTCCAACCATGAATTATTGAAATAAAATTGAACCATATATTAGTCCCAAAATGACCTAGTTTGTGTCAAGGGGATGTTAAATCCCATTTCTCTCTCTTTCTTGGGGGGTTGGACGGCTGAATGGTTAGCGTGCGCGCGCTGTATCATAAAGTCTGTCATGGAGTCGACTGGCGTGGTTTCGAATCCCCGGTTGTACGTGATAAGGAGTAGGGTTTTCTCCGGGTCCTCCGGTTTCCTCCCACTGCTAAAGACCCCTACCTGCAAGCGAATTATTGAAATAAAATTAAACCATATGTTAGTCCCGAAATGACCTAGTTTGTGTCGAGTGGACGTTAAACCCCATTTCTCTCTCTCTCTCTCTTTCTTTAATCACATTCCATACAATCAGTGAAGTGATTGTTAGTTAATTTTGTCACTGTATTGTATTTACAGGTTGGAATTTTACAACAACGTTCTAATTCTGCTAAAGTTTATCTACAAAAACAAAACGAGTCAGCTTTAGATACTTTATGTTCGTTTGTGAAGGAAAGATTACCAACAGCTGCCGAGAAACTACAAAGTGAGGCTTTGAAAGTGAAGAAGGATATAACAGAAATACATCAACAAGTTGCCAAGCAACAGAAAAACAACGTCTCTTATCAGGTACAGAACAGATTTATTAACGGTGGATTTTAAGTTCTCAGCGATGGGGGTGGGGGAGCTGAGAACCCTTGGTTGTGTGCTTTAGATTATAAGGGTATGTCATTGATCCAAGTAGCGTGGTTGTGATTCCAGGCTTGTATATGACAAAAAGTAGAGTCGCCTATATCCTTTACAAGGTTGTCACGTCAGTAACTCGGCAAAAATCGTTGGACAACATTGAAAATCAATTGAGCTCCTTCGTTAAACAAACTCAATTCCAGCGATGTTACAAATATATCTCAAAAACTCTGACCTATACAGCATTAACTACGTTTTGGTGACAGGGGCAAATATCCACTTTTAATTTCATTAAGCAAACTATCCCACTGAGTTTGAAAAAAGGACCACCAAAACTCTGACATGTAGAGTATTACTCACGAGAATAGTAGACGGGCCATGTTCAGACAGGAGGGACAGCAATATTACCCCATGATGGGCATATAAAAACATGCTTTATGCAGAATTAAACTCACTGACATTGCCTTGTAATGGCGGCTTCAAAATCAAATAACATGATGCATGTATGTAACTTGAACAATTCATATAACAACTTATCTTATGATTTTTAAAGAAGAAACCTATTTTTGATTGTATGATTGAGAGGGGTATTTTCTATCAGTATTAATGTTTTAATTCAAATAAAAACAATAATTTATTTGTGTTATGTTGAACAGGAAGAGAGAGAATTAGTACAGAGAAAGTTTATGCGTCACATCATCTCGTTTATAAGTAGAATGGACCAGACACCCATGCCTCGACTTATTGTTTTAGACATTGAAAAAACAACAGCAAGTACAGGTGAGATGTATTGATAGTTCTAACGCTACATCTTGTAGATGTACTGTTTTAGTGGGGAGTTTTTTTATTTAATATTTAAACAATTTGCCAACAATGGTTTGAAACTAAACCTTAAAGATAGAAACTCTTGCTAAAACAACACAACTAAACAATACCCAAATGAAGTCTATGCTCTGGACTAATTAGTATTTAGTAGATCTTGAAAATATAAAAATCTTTAACGAAAACCTGTGTACACATTGCAGGCCTTTAGCTAGCGGTGAGGCAAGGGGGACAGCCAAACAAATGTCACTCGGCTAAATGGGGCGCCTATACTGATATGGGCACTTGGATCGTTGGCTTTGTAGTGCGGCTAATGGAAAGCGCGTGGTTCGGCAGCTGCCCACCACCCCACCCCACCCTGCTAGCTACGGGCCTGCATTAGTGTGCACATAAATGAACCCTTAAGAGGTGGAATTGTAAATAAGAGTGGACTGTAGTGCCTCGGTCCAGGCAAATTTCCCTCATTAGCCTGGTCGGTGCAGAACAGTATGCGTTAAACCCCATTTCATTTCCTTACTAATATTAAACCCTTTCCAGTTTTAAATTCTATATTTATCAATTCTAAACAAACCATCCTTCATGAGACTCCAGTGGGTAATTATTTGTGTACAGCCTAAGGAACTAAAAATGAAATGATCTAATTAGTAATTTAAGGTCTAAGTTACATTGAAATGGAAATAGGGGGATTGGGTGGCCGAATGGTTTCATGCGTGTGCATTAGATCATAAGGTCTGTCATTGAGTCCCCCTTGTCAGTGATGCAGGATGGAGGGCCTGACAAGGAAAGCTGTCTAGTCGTTCGGATGGGACAAAAAACTGGTCCCGTGTACAAATTGGTGTGCACGTAAAAGATCCCTTGGCAGTTGGAATTCGATATAAGAGTAGGCCGTAGTGCCGCTGCCCGGGCAAAATTTCCCTCATAGCACACAGTATGGCGTATGCCCGTTTTCATTAGCCCAGGTTAGGAGCAGAACAGTAGGACGTTAAACCCCATTTCATTTCATTTCTGTCATTGAGTCAAGTGGTGTTGTTTCGATTCCAAGCTTGTACACAACAAAGAGTAGCGTGGAGTAGGGTCGCCTGTCCAACCTCATAAGTTTTCTTTGGGTCCTTAGGTTTCCCCTCATATGTTAGTCTGAAATGGTCTAGTTTGTGTTGAGGGGACATTAAACCCCATTTTTTTTTTTCTCTCTCTCTCTCTCTCTCTCTCTCTCTCTCTCTCTCTACAAAGTTTTGATTGGATGAATAGAATAAAACATCTGGTAAATATGACATATTGTAAGAGAAAATTGATTGTGTACTTTTTCAGGCAAAGGAAGAAAACAGAAACGGCCCATAACTGCAAGAAAGACAACTAGAGAAAAAACTCAAGTAAGTAAATAGTAAATTAATAAGATATTATAGATTTCAAGGATCACCTGTCCTTTTATTATAACAAGAGATCAAAATGATAGCACATTTGAAAGAAAAATTTAGAGTCAAGAAATTTTGAGTCTAACATAGTCCACGAAAAGGGTCATGTTCATTAAAATAATGACAGTCTGACAACTGTCATGAGCTATGCTATTAGTCATCAATTTCATTATCCATTGGAATGTACTTTAAATTTCGGGGGGGGGGGGGGGCCTTCTAACCATACCAACAGCAACGGATCCCTTTTAAAAGCACTTTCGTAATACAAGAATGCATTAATTACATCAGAATATAGCTTCACCAGATCGTTGCATATGGATGGCCCAAGTTAATAAAATGATGTTTTAGGTCAATTTTAATAGATATATAATAAATTATTGATATATATATAATAAACTATTGATATATATTGTAATGGATAAATAATAAACTATATTGATATATATTTTAAACTATTGATATATATATATTATAGATAAATACAGATGTTGATAAAGAGATTGATATAGATGATATCTGGGATGAAGATGGTTTGTGTATTAAGATGATGTGTGAATATGAGGAGGTCAGTTATATTTCAATACTTTAGCATCCTTCCAGATTTGTACAATTTCAAAATATGACAACATTAAAGATGCATTATGTCAGAGCTATATCTGTCTATTACAGGTCTTTATTTTGGCCTCAAACTCAAATGTTATATTAATTATTAGTTAGATATTTATTCACATGACTAGCCTATAATCAACTCTCTAGATTATCGGATGGCTGAGATTTAAATGGATTGACATAATAAATAATATAATCTAAAAATGCATTATCTAGACTTAATCTTGATTGTCAGGTACTGTTTGTATGATAATAAACAATCTACATCTTCAAACAGTGATAACTTAACTCAGATTAAAGTAATTTGGATGATATAATCAATATTTTCATTATCTATTTTTGAACTATTATAGCGAAATTGGCAAGCTATTTATCTGAATCTTACATTATGCATCTTTAATATAAGATATACATATATTTATTGACTTCATACTTATTACCTTGAGATCATTTCTATTCAGTTCTATTTTTTTTATTAACAGGGCTGGCATGTTTGTGATAAATCTTACCATTTTAAAAGATCGGATAGTGCTAAAGAACAACTGAAGAATATGTCACCTTATCTTGGACGTCTTTACGCCATTGCTAGACAGAGTCATATCAATTTAACCTGTATATCCAATACATGTAATAATGGTGAAAAGTTTGTTAGTTGGGTTGAACAGGTTAGTATGAAGTTTAAACACGGTGCTGGGTTAACCATTAAGCATAATAAGCAGGTATTTAGGGTATCATGGTTATGGGGGTACCAGAGAATGTCTGTTTTGTTAGATGCCAAAATTTAAGATATTTAATTTAAAAATTAATAAGGAACTTTCAGTTATGTTTTCATTGTCTTTTGTCTTTTCCTACTGTTACCTATTTTGTCTCAATTAATTATGACGTGTATAAAGTCTCCGAAAAACTATTAGTCACATGATTGGCGGTTGTTTGTGGATTATTATTGTTTGTATTTTGGTGGCACCATAATCTTTTAAGTGCTTAGGGCCTCTGTGGGTCTTAATCTTGCCCAGTTTATACAGCACCTGGAATCCAACTCAATCATTGGGAGACAGACAGGAGAAAAAAACGCTATAGGCCACATATAAAAAATATTCTGGTTCTCAGATAATTCCAGATCACATAAAAAGAGTTGCATCCCCTGTTTTTATTTCAAAAAATAAAATCCGTCTCGTAAACTGTAACATCATAGTACGTGTACATTGCATATGGTGTATGTCTGTCTTCATTTAGACTGCCTGTTGCAGAAAGATAAGATTTTAAAGGGGTTAGGTCTGGCCATGGTTGATGGAGATTTTCACCAATTGTTTTATAATGTAACAAAGATATTCATAGACAAAGAAATGAATAATTTATTTCCTAAATATCATCCATGTTATTGTTTTAGGAATCAAAAGATCATACAGATTTCGTTCAGGGTTTCCAAACCTTAAGAAGTATTCTTATTGAAGATAATTCGGACCAAATGATTGCTTTCTTAGACCAACTTGTTCGGTAAGTACAGTTTAAACAGGCTCATTAGAAAGTGATTGAGAGTCTTTTCATCGTCTATTACTGTGGAGGTGTTCCTGATAAAAATAGCCAAAGATATTGATGAATGTAATGTTTTTGGTTTGTAGCTAAATATAGGACCAACTTGAGTAGCTAAATATAGGACCAACTTGAGTAGTTGAATATAGTACAAACTTGAGTAGCTAAATAGAGGGACCAACTTGAGTAGCTAAATATAGGACCAACTTGAGTAGTTGAATATAGGACAAACTCAAGTAGCTAAATATAGGACCAACTTGAGTAGCTAAATATAGGACCAACTTGAGTAGCTTAAAATAGAACTTACTTGAGTAGTATTCCAAGTTTTGTTCTTGATTCATTTTAAAATGTCCTGACAAACACAGAAAAAAGGCATGGTATCCACTTTTACTCTGAATAATCGAGTACATGCCATATCTTTCTTACAACGCTACAATAATAGTAATGGCAGATGGGTGCATGTACCAGAACACCCAATAACACTTCACTAATATGTTTATGATGTACTTTAGCCCATCGGAGCAGAACAGTAGGACGTTGAACCCCATTTCATTTCATTTCATTTTATTTTGATGTACTACAATATTTTTCTTTATTCTAGATGTCATTTACCAAGTGGTAAAATCTACTGGTTATGTGAAAAACATCAGAAGATGCCACGTATAACCAAACTAAGTACTGGTACCGGTGGATCATCTGAAACGTTTAAAAATTTATACCAGGAAGATATTTTATTAAAAGAATACATGGAGAAATCTGATATCTATAAACAGAAGAAATCCCAGATATCTAAAACACCTAAAGTAGTTTTACCATCATGTAAGATAATATAGATATTTATCTCTAGCTCAGGGAAACCACTGTGGTTCAGTGAGTAAGACATAAGCTTGCTAGCCTGTAAGTCTTGGTTTCGCTCTCGGTGTTGGCTGTGAAAGTTCATCAAGATTTCTGTCCCCCTTGTCAATTGTGCAGGAGGAAGGTTTTGGGAAGGGACAAAGTATAGTCGTTTGGATGGGATGATAAACTGAGGTCCTATGTACACATTGGCATGCATGAAATAATAATAAGTTGTAATAACACTATTCAGGCAAATTTCCTTTATAGCCCACTGTATGGTGTCCGCCCATATCTTCAAGAGGACATTCAGCCCCATTTCTTTTCATTTCTCTAGCTCAGAGATTTTGATGTAAAGTTTTATTTGATATTGTTAGGGGGTTGGGTGGCCAAATGGTCTAATGCATGCTCTTACTGATAATAAGTTCTGTCAGTTATTGAGTCACGTGGCATGGTTTTGATTGCCAGCTTGTACGTGACAAGGAGTAAGTTTGCCTGTCCAGCCTCGCTGAAAAATATCATTAAAAAACCTGAAAAAATACAAATCTGTGCCAGACAAAATAAGACACCAGATGGATTGTGCCTAACAATGTGCCTTGGTTTTAAATAATTTTTTTGGGTGCATAACGGAGGGCCTGACAAGGGCAGTTGTACAGTCATTTGGATGGGACAAAAAACCAAGGTACCATGTATACATTGACGTGCACGTAAAAGATCCTTGACAGTGGGAATTCGATATAAGAGTAGGCCATAGTGCCGCTGCCTGGGCAAAATTTCCCTCATTGCAAACTGTATGGCGTATGCCTGTCTTTATTAGCATAGTAGGAGCAGAACAGTAGGACGTTAAACCCCATTTCATTTCATCTCAAATAATTGTTTTGGGTTATTGTTATTATATTCAGTGACAGATCCAGAAAACAGATCTGCATCAAAGCCAGAGCCAAAAGAAGAACAAAATGTTGATAAAAAAGCATCAAAAACAACCGACAAGAAAACAAAAGATGTCAAGTCAGAAACCTCGAAAGAAAAAGATTCTGTTAAAACAAAAGATGCCACCGCTGAAAGCCCAAAAGAAAAAGAGCCTGTAAAAAGAACAAAATCAAAAATCGGTTTCAAGGCAGCATCGGATGTTGCTGAGATTACTAATGCTGCGACGAAAAGTACTAGTGCTAATGACAAAAATAGTGGTAAAAATAGTGCAACTGCAACAGAAAAAAGTAGTAAAACATGCACAGTACAATAGATATTTATGTACAAACTAAGTATTTAAAACCAGTGATACTCATTTACACATTTTTTGAATAATATCGAACTTTCACATTTTAATCAACACTAAAATATACTCACATTGATTATTATTTAATTAAGAAAACAAAACAAAAATATCTGCTGGGATTCAATCAGATTTTAAAAAAAGCCGATAAAAAATTTCACACATCATTTATTAGTGCTGCCTTGTTTATTGTCATATACTCCTTTACTAAATCAACTTATTCATATTATTAGGGAATAGTGGTCTGAGTTCTTTGTGTTAATTGAGTTACTTCCCTTGATTAATAAAAGGCTTTGATCCCACTCGGCAAACCTCGGCAGATTCCGTTACTCTACATTTAGCCTCGGCTGTATGACGGTAAGTGATATGTACCTACGCCTATACAATTGCGATGCGGCACCGGTTTAGTTATTAGGAAAACTTGCCGCTTTTAAAAAGAAATTATCAAAATTCGTCGTTCGAAGCGTGTGTAGAATTTTCAATGCAAAGTTGTTCTTGTTTGAAGAAAATCGGATAAACTTGAAAGAAAAACAGCTTCGGACTTTGAAATATTTGTATGATAAAACATTCTTCAAAGGCGTCGTCATGTACAACGCCGTTGGTAATCCGGGAACTTGAAAGCAGTTCCAATGGCGGACTTAGTCATACAGCCGAGGCTAGATGAAGGATACTGGAATCTGCTGAGGTTTGCCGAGTGGCTTTGATCCTAGATGGAATTCTGGGATGGAGTGAAATGGAAGATGGCTGTTTTTAATTAGCTCTTCTGATTGTCATAAACAATCCAGGCCATCTTGTGGCCTATACACCCCAAAACCACATTATATCGCCTGCAGAGAATGCCAAATGTCGCAAATTTGTCTTTTATATTTTACAATTGTGTCATTTGCAAAGAATTCAAAATCATTCATATGATAATTAGCAGGTTTGAATATAACTTTATTTTATATCAACTGTATATTTGTACTATTGAATTTGAATTTCTCCGTCCCTCTATTTAAGTGTGCTAATATGACAATATTTTTTATGTATTTTTATTTTTTTCCAATCATTTTTTCTGACTGTGATACTGTTTATATTTTATTTTATATATGTTTGAATAATTTAATTTACTAGGATTTGTCTAGTTTTCATATATAGTACATCTCATACTTCTACTGCCTGATTTTCTTACATATTTATATATTGGTTATTACAAAAACAAAAGATTAAAAAAAAAAATAGTGCTTGTCAAATCATGTTTCTGAAACAGTTAAACATTACACAAACAATGTTCTTAGACAATTTGTAAGCATTGTCTACTTGTCCAAAAACTGTCAAATATCAACCAAGTTTTCAACTGCCTGTTACTGTGTATGAGCATGCTTTAACTAGATTTTTTAATCCATGGGCACCGACAATTTGACAGTCACTTGATCAGATGTATCAATCTTTGACCAGTCGTCAGCTGTGGTTTCGACAGCATCACTGGTTACCCAATAATTGTTTGTGTGTGCCAGACTTTACTTGTAATCTATGTAGAATGTTTGTCGTCCACTGTGGTTTCGACATCACCAATGGTTACCTAGTGTGTGCCAGATTTTACTTGTAATCTATGTGGTATGTTTCTTTTCTTTGTTCACTTATTTATGTAATTGACTTTATTTATTTTACAGGGTATTACAAATGTTTTTTTATTTATTTTTTCCATATTTTTATTTATTTTAATTTCTATTTTTACAATTATACCATTATTTATCATAGTATTTATAATTACAAGAGTGCAACAAAAGAATCTGTAATGGTATCAGGTGTTCTAATAAAAGTAAGCATAATCTACCTTGTACATTGTACCTGTGTCTATTTATAACTCAATGGAGACCAATACAGATGGTTGAATGTTCTAACACATGGTTTCTCCCACATTTATACATAACAAGAATAGGGTCGGCTACCTCACATCCGGGATTCTCCCACTACTAATGTGGACAGTAAACCCCAGTTCTCTCTAAATGTTTAAATAGATTAAATATTTGGGTTTTAAATGTAGTTTGTCTATTTATGTTTTGATTGTTGATTGAATATATTTTATGTCTTGTAAAACATATCATTAGGCCACATCAATTATATTGCCTTTAGAACAAATATTGAAATTTTGTTTCTTACTTCTTTGGGGAAAACATAGTTTAAAAATCAAAAGTTTGAAAGCTTTGTAAGTTTTGAAATTTGAAACTAATCATCTTTCATGTGATTCAAGTTGCTTTTTATTTATCAAGAACTGAACATCAAATTGCTTTGGCCTTTCTAGCCATGATAAACACAGCTTGTCTGGATGTTAGTGTCTAGCCATGAAAAACACAGCTTGTCTGGATGATAGTGTCCATACTAGCCATGACAAACACCACTTGTCTGGCATACAATGGAGGTTTAATATATGTTACTTTTTGTCAAAAGTGCAATAGAGAACAACAACTCGAGGAGTAAAAATATATATTTTGGTGCACTTCGTAAATAAATTTGTAAATTTATTTATTGGGTAAATTATACATATTATTAGCATAGTATATTTTAGACACTTTAGTCCAAAAAGCTCAATTTTAACAATGGTAATATTGGAAATGACAATTGGTATATGTAGATGTGTGTATCATATACTATCTATTATATATTATATAGTTTAACAGGCTAATATATCTTATATACTATCTATTATATATTATAGAGTTTAACAGGGTAATATATATCTTACGGGTATATACTATGATCTTTTAGAGGCATTAAGTAACTGGATAGAGCAATAAACTATAACACATACTTATGGAAGAACAATTACTGATTTATTTGGGCAACGTTTCGAAGAGTATTCTCTCAAGGTTGAGAGAATACTCTTCGAAACGTCGCCCTAATAAATCAGTAATTGTTCTTCCATAAGTATGTGTTATAGTTTATTGGTATATACTATCTATTATATAGTTTAACAGGCTAATCTATATTTTATATACTATAAATACATTAAATAGTTTAACAGGCTAATATATACCTTATACACTAGTTGGCCTTGTTTGTTACACACTACATATAGTCATCACTTTTAAATCAAAATGTAATCTGTTAATTTGATCTACAGAAACTGCTGAATAAATTAGATTAAATATGAACTTTATCTGTATGTTATTTGTTTTTAAGACACCCTTGTCTTTACCAGAGCCCACAATAAATTAAAAATATATTTACAAAAGTATTAATAGCACAGTTCGGAGCAGAATAGTAGGATGTTAAACCTCATTTCAGTTAATAGATATAGCCCCTGTAATATGAGAATATAATCACGTACGTACAACATTATTAGACAAGATGATATTACCTATAAAATATCGATCGCTATTCTCCAACTGAATTTCAAATGGCAAAAAACAAAAGTTCGAAAATTGCTATATATTTTCTCTCCAAATCATATCAATTCCCGGAAACGACCTAATGTCAGGGGCGGGTCGATACCCCCCCCCCCCCCTAACCCTGCCTCAGCAATACAAAATAAATTGTAAAGAAACACTTTTATGAGAAAAGTGTCACGGTCGTATGCTTTATCCTTTTATGATCAGATGGTGGGGTGAGACAATCTCTTTCCCAGAGATAAGGTAAAAGTTATCTCTGGGGGTGAGATTGAGGATGTGATGGGCATTCAAAGCGCGGGATAATGACATAGACATATGTGATATCACAATAATTAATGCTTTGCATCAATGAAATTGATCCGAATCACAATGTGATCCTATTATTATAATCCATAATAAAATTGACGTCAAACAGACTGTTGATTTCTCTACAGTGTGTATGTGTGCCTACGTAAATTGGAGACGATGATGGCATCAGCATTGTCAACTGTCAAATTTCCTTCACAAGAACCTGGGAAACCCCCTCCTGAAAAATTCCTGGTTCCGAATGTGTTAAAAGCAAAAACACTTATTGTGTTAGATAATAGGGCTTGTAATTAAAGTGGCGTGCGTTTCCAATACTCGCTTTTACGCACAATCGAATCTTTTAGATAAAACTGACCATATGTTTGTGTTAAGTGGACGCTAAACTCTCTCTCTCTCTCTCTCTCTCTCTCTCTCTCTTCCATGGCGTTTAATTAAATTTTAAACCACCGAAAACAGTATAATGTTGAGTACAGTCGGGCGTTAAATGTAATAGATGTTCCACACTTGATTGATACAAAGAGTGAAAAAACAGCATAGCTATGTACATATATTTACACCTGTTCATTGTTACAAACGCTCGTGAAAGTCAGATCTGATTGGCAACAATCACGATTGAATTGATCATTCTATTACTCAATGACCACTGGACGCAATTAATTAATCATGAATTTTGTTCGAGACTAAAACACAAAGCAATTATTTTCCCAGCTATCTCGAGAACTGCAGTATTAGTTACAGTAGGTATTATTGATCCGACGAATCTCCCCAGTCGACCGTTATCAAAGTCAGCCTAATTATTAATCAAAAGTCGCGTGGTAATAAATTGTTACAACTTTGATTAGGAAATCATCAGCTACTACATCCGGAACACTTGAACAACACGAAACGAAGATAGGTATATATGCGATGGCCAGGTTCTATCGATTAATTGATTTCGAATATTCAGGAAAGACAGATGGTAATTAGTACATGTATTGTCTTCAGTTAAGGTCTCAAAGACTAATAAGCTTCTTCGATCAATATTTTAAAGTGGTAAGCATTTTGAAAATGTGTTTGTACGATCGAGATATAAACTAACTCAGGTAGATCCGGGGACATTTTCGGGTAGATTGCGAGGAATCAACCAGAGCATATGAGGATGCCCTACCTAGAAACGGTGAGAGAAACAACATTGTTATTCCATGATGTCATGGTCACACTTGTTAACATGGAGTGAAGGTGTAAGCAAGCAGACTGGATTAAAGATTTTCCTTTGAAGTATAAAAAATGGTAGCTCAGGTTTTGTGGACTGTTTAATTGTATGTGTATTTTTTCGTTAATGAATATATGAAGAGTTTAATAGCTGAATTTTAACGAAACTGACTTTGGATTAATTTAAAGGATAATGGCCGAGGCAACACACGCTAAACCATTAGACGAGGGCGCCAAGATGGGGGCCCCGTCTAAATCAGCCTGGGTAAGTTCATAATATCTGCCCAGAATGGGGTTTTAATATTTAATCATAATTTTCTATTCAACGAATATAAGGATTATAGTGTTTTAGTAACGATGTATTGTGTCAAAGTTGTTTTTCAGCAGTTTAATACTCCCCAAAAGAGCAATAACCAACTATGGTTGATGAAGCCACCTTATTATATGACGTTTCGGGTCTTACTGCATGTCATGTAATATCATGTCGGGTAATTGATTAGGTGGGAGCCCGGGTTCATCCCCGAGAAAGTTTGGAAAATCGGTGTGTCAATTGTGATTTGTGACTCTTATCTAGACCAGAACATAATATCGAATTCCATCAGCTACACCAACCCAACCAATAGAAAGTCCAAATTTAAACGTTTCATAGAAAAAGAATAAAATATTTTGTTTTATATTGTTATTAAGGGGGCGGGATGGGGCACCACATGAATCCTTCACTGGCTTTAGCTTAGCGGGAACATTACTTTGAGAAATCTTTTAGAGACTAAGATTCTTTGCTTATTAGGGACTGTTTTAAAGAAATGTACAAACCTATCTCTTGGGAATTTTACATTAAGAAATGCTGAAAATGATATGGAATTACACATGCTTATATTATTTTTCATATTTCCAACTTTCAGAAACCAAGAAGACTAGCTATTATACGTACTGCGGGGAAGTTTAGGTCTGGATTTAATTCACAAACTCTTCCCACTACCAAATCCTCGGAAGATTTATCAGTTACCGATGAACAGTCCGTTGGTGAAACACTACAGACCCTTGCATTCCAGTCTTCCCAGCTCAACCCAAAACCAATTTCTGGTACTACAATAACAGGAACAACGACTCAGCCTAACACACCTAGTGGAACATTTCGAGAGACACGTGTCCATTCCCACAAAACCTCGGTGGTTAAACCCAACCGTAGTGCGAATGTGTTAGTAAACGCCCAATGTGCTTCAGAACCAGCTTTTCAACGTTCGGGAGTGTCTGGGATACCTCTCCAACGTCAACATTCGGTAGCAGCATCTAGTAATAGTGCGGATATGGAAGTAACAGCTCTCCGATCTCGACGTTTGGCAGCAGCATCTAGTAATAGTGCGGATATGGAAGTAAAACCTCTTCGACCTCGAAGTTCGTCAGCAGCACCCGGTAATAGTGTAAATATGGACATAACACCTCTTCGACCTCGAAGTTCGACAGCAGCAACCAGTAATAGTGTGAATATGAAAGTAACACCTCTTCGACCCAGAAATTCTGCTGCAGCACCCCGTAATAGTGAGACTAGGGAAGTAACACCTCTTCGACCCCGGCGGTCTTCCTTCTCGGGAGTGACATCCGAATTTTGTGTATCAATGTCTGAAACAACAAACCGTCGTCCTCATTTTACACCGAAATCACACCAAGTTAACGGACATTCTGGTCAGCAGTCAGTGACAGCAATGGATCCTTTCTCCCAGTCAGTAACATCCGCCGATATCTCCTCTTGGTTGATGACATCGGTTCACCCGTTTTCTAAGTCATGGACACAAGAACCTCGCCATTCCTCGTTGCCCATAGCACCCACCCTTCGTTTCAAAAGATCAGGTACACATTATGCTTCCCCGAACTCGCTGAATTCAGCCCACCAATCTCCAGGTTCGGCTGTATCATCAAATTCCCCCACTCCTTCAATGACTATGGATCACTTTTCCTCTCGATCCTTATCATTGGATTCAAGATCAGCGATCTCTACAAACCACGACAATCAATCGAGGATGTCAAACTCACAGTCAGATGTGACATCTGCCCATCATTTTTCCCAGTCCGATGCATCAACGCATTCTTCTCAGTCAGACACATCCACCTTTCGAACTACGCTAGCAGCGACTCGCCCTACCTCAACACCGGGTACCGCTTCACGGCGTACTATGAAGCCCGATAAACGTAATAGTGAATTGCCCATCACATACAATGCCCATGCCTCACCACCAATGACATTTACATCTGGCCCAACCCAGAGAACTGCTTCACGGCGTACTGTAATGCCTGATAAACGCCATAATGGATTACCCAAACCCGATACATATAATATCCATGACGAACAAATGATGTACACTACTAATTGTACTTTTCCTGAAAGGATACCCCATCCTCCTTCTGGGTTACCACGATCATCACGAAATTCTTCGGTGTCAGGGAGAACTCGTCGCATCAGTGGGATGCGCGAAGCAGCAGGTCGACGACTTTCATTATCTGGGACATCATCTAGTTCATCTGCGACATCTATCTTTTATATGGAAATGCCCGGATCTGTGAGGCATCAATAGGGCATATAAAGACATATAGTTACTCCTTCAACAACATGTTTTGTTTCCTATTTGTAAAGTTATTGTTATTCCATGAAAACGTCCCCCCCCCCCGTTTCCTCCAATTTAAACTTTACTTGAGGGAACCCCGGTACTATAATATTATAACTTTACTTTGAGGGAATCCTGGTAGTATATTATAAGTTCACTTGAGAGAATCTTGGTACTGTGATATTATAACATTACTTGTGGGAAATGAAATAAAAACGGGTTTAACGTCCTACTGTTCTGCTCCGACAGGGCCAATGAAGACGGTTACTTTACATGAGTGAATCCTGGTACTGATATTATAACTTTACTGGAGGGAAGACTGGTACTACAATATTATAATTTTACTTGGGGGAATCCTATTACTACGATATTATAACTTTAAATGGGGGAATCCTGGTACTACAATATTATAACTTTACTTGAGGGAACCCTGATACTATGATATTACTTGAGGGAAGACTGGTACTATAATATTATAACTTTACTTGAGCGAACCCTTGCACTATAATAACTATACTTGAGAGGAACCTGGTACTATAATATTATATCCTCAACTTAACTTGAGGAAAAATCCAAGAAAGAGTTAATAGAAAATTACTGATAGGATGGTGATGATGCCCCCTTTTGGCATCAACCCAAGTGTGTAACTTTTTCTATGTTGGTTGGTCAAGTACTATTAAAATGTTTTGATGTTAATAAAGTTGAATTCAAACAAAGCTTAATCAAGTAAAGTTTATATCCTTTTAAACATAAATCTGATCTATGTGCAACTTGGTTTATTTTTTTACATGTAAATATATATACATAAATAAATTCTATATTTAATACAATCTTATGTACTGTTTTAACATTTTTTAATAATGTTCCAGGAACTCCAGGAGATCTAGAATATCTATTTTGATGGATATCAGAAGTGCCACCTTAGCTCAATGAGTATCGTACTACCGGTTCGATCCCAGTGTTGGTTGACATTTCATTGAAGGGTTCTCTCGTCAGAGGAACCGTGGTGGCTCAGTGAGTAAGACGCCTCACTAACATCGGTTGGACGGCTGAATGGTTAGCGCGTGCGTGCTTTATCATAAGGTCTACCTTTGAGTCAACTGGCATGGCTTCGATTCCACGTGACAAGGAGTAGGGTCGCCTGTCAAACCTTTAGGTTTTCTCCAGGTCCTCCCACTGCTAAAGACCCATACGTGCAAGTGAATTATTGAAATAAAATTAAAACATTTGTTAGTCCCAAAATGACCTAGTTTATGTTGTGTGGATTTAACAAACCCTCTCTTTCACTATTTTCTTGGATGGATAATTAAAACATTTACACAGTTTTGGGAAACACATTAACAGAACACAATTTTTATGGGAAACAATCAGTAGTTTTATTCTAAAAGCGCGACTTTTCGACAAGTATCCTCTTATTGTTATCAAGCACATTTTATTCTCTTTATTACATTCCAAATGTTCCACAAGTAGCACTGCTCCATTCATAACCAAACTAAATCTGGAATTAACCTATTCGGACCTGTCATTGGACAAAATGTAAGGCTCAAATTTGATACCAACCTGTCATGAACATAATGTAAGGCTCAAATTTGAAATTTGGAAGACAAAATTCCTATGGTGTCTTTTAGTCTATCAATCAGATATGCAGCGGCTAACCAACTCAGAGCAACGAAGGGGGCGAGAAGTGTTCTCAGGGGTGCTGCAAAATTGATGGACAATGTATACTGTATCTATTTTTTTTATGGTTGAAAATTTGTTCACAGGGGGTTGGGGGAATTTTTTTTTTTTTTTTTTTTTTTGGGGGGGGGGGACTTTCTGTATGGGGGCTTAGCCCCCTGTGCCCCCCCCCCCCCCCCTTACTTACCGGCCTGCAGATATGTTATATTATTATACTTGATATTTGTAAGGTTTGTCTGACACAAAGTTAATAATCTCTGGTACAACTAAAATCATCATTTCAAGGCTTCGTATATAAGTAGTCTTGATCACATAAGTCCATATTAGGCTTTTATCATCTCTAACTACAAGGCATATTGGTGGTCTGAGCAATATAGTTTCAACTGTCTAAACCAGTGATTCTCAACCAGTGTGCCGCAAAGTTTTAAGAAAATGGGAAAAACCATGTGACCCCAATTGAGTATTCACTGGTGTCCGCTGATAAATTCATAGCTGTGTTATTCTTATTTAGTTTGAGTCATTATATGTGTCTATGACTAGTCTCTGTCTACCTTTGTATGCCGTCTGACTTGCCATGCTTTAATTTGCAAAATCAAATATTTTTCATATATATTTAGCAAAGTTTGCCGGTCAGAACCACTGGTCTATACAGTTACAGTGGTCACATACAGATTCCTACAAATCTTACAATTGGTTGAGACCTGAGGGGTTTAAACAGCCTAGGCCTTTGAGGGCGTAGAGGGGGAGAGAGAGAGAGAGATTATAAGGTCCACTTGACACAATTTTATTTCAATAATTTGGTTGCTTGTAGAGGTCTACAGCTCTGGAAAAAAATGGTAGACCCGTAAGAACCTACAACATTTAATTTATCATTTTCTTTTCCAGAGATGTCATTCAACCGACCCACCCAGTTCTGCAGTTTAATCATTTGGACACAAGTCTTGAAATTTTATTAAGGTCTCTAATGTGTCCATACAATTTTGGTTGCCTGATCAGCCTACAGCCACATTATTCTTTTTCACTCCCTGGTGTATACGCATTTTAGAAATGTAAATCAGCAGTGCAGTAAGCTAAATTGTATTCACAATCAAAAACTTCTGTATTTTTACAGATGCCTTATGTAAGATTAAGATAAAAAGCTAACGGTTCCGGCCAAGTCTTGATTATCCATTTTATCGTTAAATTTTAAATCTCCTAGATGTTCTAATCCATGTAAAACTGGGCCACAGTGTTAAACAGACCATACACAATGTCTTTAGTCACAACTCACAACCAAGTGCAGATATAAATAGCTCCTTTTGTATAATCCTGAACAGATTTGAATATCAAATATCAATCAGAATCAAAAGTTGTGTAACCCTGTAAGTATTCCATAATTATCAGGTTTTTTTCCCTGTAAGTATTCCATAATTTCATTGTTTGTCCCTTTAAGCATTCCATAAAATTATCAGATGCATGATGAAACAACCACTGCCTCAGCCATCCTGGAATACATTATCTACTATTCACTTTAAATCGCTCCATAATTATCATCAATCTTTAAACATTCTTAGTTCCATCCAACAACAACAGTAAAGAAAAAGAAGAAGAAACAGCCGTAGCCACAGCCATCCTAGAAGACATCAATGATAATTATTTTATTTAAATCCGCGATAATCAACCTTTTCTTTGTTATTTTAAGATATTAAATCTTTACTTATTTTTATAATTATATTAATAATTTTACTTATTTAACAATCTTTAATTTAATTTTTAAAAATCCTTTTTGTACATACAAATAAATTTAACGATCCTTTTCTTTCAAACCAATCATTGTACATTAATAAATTTAAAAATCCTGTGACGTCATCTCTTTTGTTTGTATATAAGGCGTCATCTCTTTTGTTTGTATATAAGGCGTCACAGGATTCACAAAAATCATTCTTGAAAAAGGGTATTGCACCCGAAACGTTGGATTGATATAAAGATCTTTTAAATCTACAAGTCTGTTGCTGGTTCTGTTTGGCGGGGATTCTTTAATTTTATCTATTCTACTACTCCGCCCCGCCGGCATCATTTTTTGATCCAGATCCTACGCAGATGTACCAGCCTGTCCAGCTTTTCTACTGATTTAAGGGAGTGTTGCCGTACCCCTCCTCATTTTCCAATATGTAGTTTACAATGGATTCCTATTGCCTCATGAGACTTTAGGAGGTTTATTTCATAGGTGAAATTACTGGTAGCACTCTTGTCTTTCTTAGTAAATTCACAGTTCTTATAGAAATTTATAAACTAAGCTTAATGAACCGGTTTTAGTTTCCCCCGTTTCTTGACAAGTTACCTCACATGGTTCCGTCATGTGAATATTTTTAGGCAACGCCATTCTTGATGAGTCCATGTCCCCTTTCGTTTCAAGAGTATTATTTAAATGTTTTCTGATATGATTATCAAGTGCTTTCCCAGCAGCAAAACGTGCCTCACATATTTCACACTTATATGGTTTAAAACCGGTGTGAACACGCTGATGTTTTTTCAAACTTTCGGTACTGGAAAGTAGTTTACTACAAACTTCGCATTTAAACTTTACTTCATCATGCACTTTCACATGTCTCCTTAGATGACTATTGGTTGTGAATTGCTTCCCGCAGATTGGACATTTTCTGTCTCTCTCATTATCTTGTAAAGCGTCTTTGTTATGTTTGCTGTGATAAACTTTCTTTTTTCTGGAGCCACCAGAGCCAGCAGATGCAGTTTTAAAAAAAGTATAGCCTTTACCAGAATCCATTTTCACAAACATACACCTGTTAAAGACACAATTAAATCAAATGATAAAATTATAAGGTTGAGATGATTCACAGTTTTGGTTGTTCAAGTTGTGGGATCATGTAGAAAAGGAAATGCAGGTGTCATTATAAAGTATAATGCACATCAAAAACATCAATAAACCCAGAAAGCTACTGCAGATCTAAGGTACAATGACAAGTTTTAGCTAAAACAGGCGATTTTAAATATCTTTTGTATGATTTTAATTAAAATAATTAAGATATTTTGTAAGATTAGGATGGTCAATAATTCTGAAGAATGATATATAAACCATCAATTAGATGGTAAATCTGAAGTCAATTTAACTGATTTTATAGAGCAGCTCTTTCTATAAGCCAGAAAATAAGCCGAATATCATTGACATTATATCAGGCAAAAATTGAGACTTTGTATTGCCTCTCTGGTATGGTTTTGTCTCTTTTCGATGGTAATATTATTTTGCTCAATGAGTAAGGTGTTATTAACTTGTTTCCAACCCAGTGTTGGCAGCGAAAGTTACTCACGATATTCTAGCTTGGTTTCAAGTTGTTATAGGTGCAGGACTGAGGGCAACTAATGACTAAAATAGTTAGGCCCCATTGTACCCCAGTTTCAATTCACATTGGTGTGCACGTAAAAGATCCCTTGGCAGTTGGAATTTGATATAAGAGTAGGCTGTAGCGCCGCTGCCCGGGCAAAATTTCCCTCATAGCACACTGTATGTCGTATGCCCATCTTCAATAGCCCAGGTTAGGAGCAGAACAGTAGGGCGTTAATTTAAACCCCATTTCATTCATTCATTCATTGGACGATTGGTTGGTCTCATTGTAATTTATAAACATGCATTCAGGCAACATCAAGTAAGCAGTAAATTTCGACTGACACTTTATATTTATATTATAAGGACTATACTACCTGGAGTCCTTTATGGTCAAAATATTCGCAGCCCAGTGTAATAATTTAGCTTATTTTATTCTTTTAAATATGAAGGTGAAAAATGAAATAAAAAATTCATCACAACAGACCATTGAACAGATGGGAGATAACTCTGAAATAAAGAGTCTTGACATATGAGTCTACAATAGACTTGGTTGTCAAAAAAATAAATACACAGGTCCAGCAACGGTAACCAGGGACGCCATTGCTATCAATTTTGTTGTGGCAAGGTTTTTTCTTCGACACATTAGTCCATTTATTAGAGTGTTGCAAGTTAATCATACACATTTTTACGTGCTCTGAATATCTAAAAACAAAAATGCCGCTAATAACTGAAATACCGAATGACGAAATACCAGTTTCTTCAACTGATAATGGCAATCGACTGATAATAGAAGTTGAAGAAGAGAAGAAAACTACACCACAAGTCGAGATAACTAAAAAGGAAGAGTTATTTGAAAGCCTTGTGTCTGGAGAGGAGAAATCTGATGATGTTAAAAATGAAAACCAAGAAGTTAGTGTAAATGTAGAGAAGAAACCCATCACAAATAACAAATTTGAACACAAGAATGTTTTAACAAAGGCGTTCCTGAAAGAACATTGTAAAAAGTTAAAAATGTACACAACACCTTATCTAAATGACGTTTTGTACCTGCATTTCAAAAGTATTATGAAGATCGAGAACTTAGACGAATATACTGGTTTAAAGTGTTTGTGGCTAGAAACAAATGGAATTCAAGTTATTGAAAATTTAGACAACCAGAAAGAACTCCGATGCCTTTACCTCCAACAGAATTTAATTGAAAAGCTTGAAAACTTAGAACCATTACAAATATTAGATACGCTAAATGTTTGTAACAACAAAATTAGTAAAATTGAAAATATTGCGTGTTTACCCGTGTTGCATACCCTCAGTATTTCACATAATTATCTTAAAACAAGAGAAGATATAGAAGAATTAGCCGAGTGTTCACAACTTGGAGTTTTAGATCTTTCACATAATAAAATAGAGGATCCAGATATTTTAGAAGTATTGAAACAAATGAAAAATCTACGAGTGTTGAATCTAATGGGCAATCCATTTATGAAAAAAGTGAAGAATTATAGAAAAACCTTTATCGCTAACTTAAAAGAACTAACCTATCTGGATGATCGCCCTGTCTTCCCGAAAGACAGAGCATGTATTGATGCGTGGGCTACTGGAGGTGCGGAAGCTGAAAAGATCGAACGAGAAAGATGGATCAGTAAAGAACGACAACGAATACAAGACAGTGTTGATGCGTTACTGGAAGTGAGACAGCGGAACGAAGCTAACAGGATAGAAAAAGAATTAAATGAAGATCAGGAAATGGGAGATGGCCAACATGTTGTAGTGGACCCAAAATCTGTGGATTGGCTCTATGGAACATACGAATTAGAAAATGCTACGCAATCAGAAGAACCAAATAACCCTTCACAAACAAAAGATGACGAAACTGAACCAAAGAAGATTGATGAAGACATGGACGACGAAGACATGCCTTTTATAACATCCATCAAGCCAAACGAAGCAGCCGACAGCATTTTCTCAAAGCCTAATAATCGAGAATTTAATGATGTTTATGAGACCCCAAACAGCAACTTAAATGATTTACCCGACTTAGAAGATGTTGATATCGACGATGAAATCATCTTACAGACGACCCGGACACCTAATAATAGACCAAGAATAGTAGAACTCAATGACGATGGTGATAGAGATACGTGGGCAGCTCCTGTTAATAAACATCTTATACAAGAGTTGGACACACAATCTGAATCAACCCCAAGCACTCCAACTAATAAAGACACTTCTTTATCTTCAGTTGAAACACAATTAACAGATACATCTAGTGAAAAAGACATTTTACAACAAATAGGAAATCTAGTGAATTTAACACAACCTGGAGCTGGAAATAGTGAAAAGAAATCAAGTAGTTATGATGATGATGATGATTTATTTGGTGAACTCGATTAAGTGTCCTGTGTAAATACCTTGATCACATCATCTTTTTAACATGACGATTATCATTATTAATCCAACATTTCTGACTGTCAGTCATGTTACTGTATAGGAGTACTGAATTTTTTTTCATTTTTAGACAATATCTTGGCTTGTGTTTTCATGACTTAATCCACATTAAAATTTAGTCAATTGATAATTTAAGATTCAATTAAGAAAGAAAAAAATTAAATATCAAGGATAGATGATCTTGTGGCTTCAATTAATTCTTTGGATTAAAAAAAAGAGGCCTAACAAAAGATTTTACCCAAATCTTACAGGTGATGCTGGCTTGTTTAAATCATCTGCAGAGAGATCTCTGAATGATATTTGATTCATAAATCATAAAATCTTTGTAAATAATGAACAGAATGTGTACCATTTTTGGACTGGTATTCCTTTTAGATACTCAAATTCACACAAGGGATTCCATTTTACTCAGTAGACGATCCGTTGCTATGAAATAACGATACCCACTGTGTCATGCCTACTTCCGAAATAACCACAATTGAAATTTAAATATATTATTGTTTATATCATGAAGTACATTAAATATTATTAATATTTTATTTACCGGATAAGTCAAAAACCAATGTTGGTTATTGTATTGTTTTAAACCTGAATGTGGTTACCATACATTTGACTATTTTATTACTTTTTAAATGTACAGGTTACTTGAATGTGGTAACCACATCTTTGACTGTCTTTAATGTACAGGTTACAGAATATTTATTGTTTTATTACTGGCAATAGATAGATGTTTAAAATGAGTAGGGATGACAAAAGGTCAACATATAATATAAAGCATTAATTACAGGTACCATAAGCATATACTTGTTTTGTGTACCTTTTTATTTAACAACTGTATTTAATTTTGGTGTGGGAATATTATCATGGTCTGTCATTTTAATGCAGTACAGGACAGATTTTTATGGATATAATTTTGAAAATTATAAAAATTGTTAGTGCTCATTCAGGAGTCATAATAACGAAGAACAGTCAAAATTCAGATAGTTAAATGGAACAATTTCCCATTTTACCTTGACAACTTAATAGAGCCATACCATATCATCAGTTCTCATCCAAATTTTCTCATTTTTCCATATCCAAATTTCTTCCCATGGCATTGTTTATCGTATTTATTTTTATTCAAAAATTCCATTTATTCATTGACCAACTGAAAAGCTAAAGAATTCATTGTGCAGCTAATCAGGCATAATTATTTATTTTTAATGTAAACAATATTGTTTTGTAATCTTACATCTGTTTATTTATTCAATATATGAAACTTATTGTTTGTTTATGATTTACAATAAATATTCGTAAAGACTTTTGTATTATTATTAATAGTTATGGGGTAAATGCCATTGTCTAATCACCTGTGGTTTTGGCCTGACATAAATTTAAACATACATTATGCAAGAGCTAAATCTGTCTATTGCATGTCTTTCTTTAGGCCTGAAATGTTATCTAAATTATTAATTAGACATTAATTAACCTATCCAGTCCATAATCAACTCTAGATGTCATCGCTAGCCTGCGATCTTTGGTGGATTATGAGCCGATTTACTGCATAACTTTCCTTCACGATTTAACGATTAAATGGATAATTGAGACTATGCTGTTTATCATACTGACTTTAGCAATGATGATCGAGGCTAGGCGAAAATTTTAATCGCTTAGTTCTCGGTTCATAGTGGATCAATTTGAATGAAATTTTTAGCAAATTGCCTTTACATTATCTAGGTTTTAACTATTATAGTGAGAAGTGCCAACTCGTTATCGAATCTCCCATAATGTATCTTTAATGCGTGTGTCTGTTAGTGATGCAACATAAATGAAAAGTGCACACCTGTGAAGTGTGAATTCAAGAGTCTCAAATATTTTATATCTGCAAAATGAACAGGGATCTTTTCATTTAACATACATGAGGGGTGTCCAAAAGTTTCCAGCCTTGCCATGAAATAGATCGCCCAAATTCAACCAATCTGCTCATACTGCTAAAAAAATATCTTGGCATTTGCTTGATATGCAAAATGTGAATTTTATGTGTTAGTATCTCCTACATACCGCTGTCAAACAGAATAGCCCTGTCATTTGCTCTCAAAATGGAGAATGGTTACACAAATTCATGACATTACATAAACATTAGGTGATAATGCTCCTTGGTATAGTGCAGTCAAACATTGGTGTGCTGAATTTTAGAACGGTGCAGAGTCAGTACTGAAGATGAACCAAGTTAAAGTTAATGCTGGTCTCCACACAATAATGCAGGACAGACTATTAGCCAGCCAGTTATATAGCTACTGCACATGACAGAGGTGTCTGGCTGCTCCAGGGCAATGACTTCAAGATCCACCCTCCGTTATCCTATTCTCCAGATCTAACTTTCTTTTCCCAGAACTCAAATCTATCTTCAGGTGCTGCAGATTTGGGATGGATGATGAAGTCATCACTGCTGTGGAAGTTTTTAAAAAAATAGTGGTTTTCTGACAGGTTAAAGGTTAAATCATTATGCTGGAGGAACAAGGGAATAGTTGTGAATTATGTTGAAAAACAAGTGCAACAATTTTCATACATCAGATTGCATATTACTTAGGAAGGACATAACCATTAGGCCCACCCCTGGTACAATACAAAATAATTTCCAAATACCAGTACATAATGTTAAATTACCCATTTTCTAGGCATGGTTCCACCTTGTCAGGATTCAGGACAGAGACCCTGACAAGGAACAGTGTCTAGTCATTAGGAAGGGACAATTTACCCCACAGCAGACTATATGGCAACAGGCCCATGCCTGTCTTCATTAGTGTAATCCTAATCTTTCAGAGGCATTTAGTAACTGGATAGAGCAATACACAAAAACACATACTTATGGAAAAACAGCTACTTAAAGTAGCTAAATCTCTAACTCAATATCATCAAAAATCTTCGACATTGAAAACACGAATTATTTGTCAATTCAAATCAACATTGGCCTTGTGATCTTACAGGGAAAAGATGGGCTTCTGATGTCCAATATTCAAGACAAAATAAACAATTTACCATTGGTACACGAATCGTGTACCATAATGCGTTTCAGTGCCATTTGGAACAAGGGACGAGGCTAGACATATTCCACAAGTCCTGTCAAATGGTGACGCTATATTCTTATCTGGAGAGCATGCGCAATAAACACCATCGGTGTAGACTGGAATAACCGGAGGCTAAAGATTGTCATTTAATAGAGACTTTGGCACATTTCGCTGAACATTAACTGATTAGAAATTACAGTAAAAACAGAAACGATTGAATGTAAATCAGTTTATATACATTCATACATTATTATATGTGTTGCCACCCATTTGTGTCAATTTCTAGGTCACAAATATTAGCGATTTAGCTCCTTTAATTTATTTGGGTGAAAATGGGAAAGTATTCTCTCAAGTTACCATATTATGTTTTTCCATAAGTATGTGTTTTTGTGTATTGCAATGTTCATTAGTGTAGTAGGTGCAGAAAAGGATGATAACCCTGTTTAATTCATTTTAAAATATCCATTACAAGAGTTGACAATTCTTAAAAGACAACTCATTGAACTGAACTGAACTGAATGAATTGACTCAATAGTGTGTAAATCTTTATAGTGCATTTTAACAAATGTGTCCGTGTATAAAATGTCAGTGTTTATAGAGTCCAATATTGCGTCTCCATTTAATTTAACTTGGCTCTTGTCATTAATTTCAGTTGAGGTGAAAGTGGATCAGTGATTTTGGTGCTGGCTCACTAACCAGGAATACTGGGTCTATAGATCCCTGTATTAGCCGAGAAAGTTGTCCAGGCTATCTGAGTGTGGTTTTCCCTTGTCATTGATGCAGATCAGAGGATCTGCCAAGGAAAAGTGTCTAGCTATTTGGATGAAACAATAAACTGAGGTCCTGTGTAGATGCTGGTGTAAATGTTAAAGAATCCTTGATAGAGAGAGAGAAAAATGGGGTTTAACGTCCACTCGACACAACTAGGTCATTTTGGGACAAACATATGGTTTAATTTTATTTCAATAATTCGCTTGCGCATAGGGGTCTTTAGCAGTGGGAGGAAACCGGAGAAAACCCACGAGGTTGGACAGGCGACCCTACTCCTTGTCACGTACAAGCGGGGATTCGAAACCACGCCAGTTGACTCAATGACAGACTTTGTGATACAGCGCGCGCACGCTAACCATTCAGCCATCCAACCCCCCAAGAATCCTTGATAGTTTGATTTGAAAATAATAGTGGACCATAGCACCGCTGTCTGGACAATATTTCCCTCATCGTAGCACTCCTGATGGCCGCATACATGTATGATCGTCTTGATTAGCCTGTTGTCTTTCTGGCTTGCATAAACTCATTGACGCTGTATGTTTCAAAGAATCAACAATTAACAATCAAAGTTTGACTTTTAGTACTGGTATGTATATTTAATCACTCAATACGTGTAATATAGTGTACATAATAAGGGTACAGTATAAACAGTACATGATTGTACATACGTGTAATATATTGTACATACGTGTAATATACTGTACATACATGTATATAACGGTACAATATAAACAGTACATGTAATATATACGTGTAATATACTGTACATACATGTATATAACGGTACAATATAAACAGTACATGTAATATATACGTGTAATATATTGTACATACATGTATATAACCGTACAATATAAACAGTATGTGTAATATATTGTAAATACAGTACATGTAATATATTGTACATACGTGTATATAATGGTACAATATAAACAATAGTAATGTACATCTATTATATAAATACTATATAAATCAAATAAATAAATATAACAAAATCAAAAATCTGATCATTTTGATTTTTGTTTCCAGCGCTTGCAAATAGGGATCTTTAGTAGTGGGAGGAAACCCACGAGGTTGGACATATGACCCTATTCCTTGGTGGAATAGAAACTACTCCATTTGACTCAGTGACAGACCTTACGGTTTCACGCGCACACATTAAACCACTAGACAACCCACCCACCCTGATCAATAAAATAACAACATATTAATCCTCCAGCCAAACCAGTTTAATTTTTATTTCTTCAGGGACTTGGTCACTAAGTAACCCACTCAATTCTTGTGTGCAAAGTTTAGTTAAAATTTCAAATATTAAATATTTGAAACTAAAAGCTTTTGAGAAGTGTTTTTAAATTAGTTTTTCCCCTGAAAAAATAGAAAGTGAAAGTATAACAAATGTTCCTGAAAAACAGAAATTCAAATTGGTTTGGCCTCCATAGGAAATTGCACAACAATACGTATTTTACTAACTACACCAAAGATAAAATTATTATAAAGTAGAATATTAAATGTCTAACATAATTTTCTTATGTACACCAAAAATAAAACTATGCACAACCTTTGCTGTTTTATTAATATGAATATCAGGACAAGCTCATGACTGAAAAAGAAACATGAGAAAAATAATTGCACATAATCCTTGATTGGCATTTCATTTAGAAATTATCCTTGAGTGGTATTTCATTTAACTATTAAAAACAATAAAAGCAGAATACAATTTTATATGTAAAAACAATCACTGGTTAGTACAGATAAATGCTTCGACAAGTGTTCTCTAATCGTTCTCAATATATACATTGTATTGTGCTTTTCTTATTACAAATATATGAACCACTAATATTTTACGGTCAAATAACTTCATAAAATCATTATCCTAAACAAATATACATTAAATTAATACAAAACAAAAATAAAGAACCGTAGCTTAATATATGGATGTAACTGAGGAATGACTTTATGGAATTTGAAATATAGACAGAGCTTTACCCCTCACCTGGTGGCAAAGGTGTCTGTGCTAATTCTAAAGTAGTTGTTAACATATCCCAGGGATCAACATTTAAAGTTCTATTACTGGTTATACTCTTTGTATTAAACTTTAAAAGTAAAAATGTCAATCTCTGGGAAATGCAGGACAATCTCACTTAGTATGGAGAACTTTAGTCTGTATCCTGTATCACAAGATTTAACCATCAAAAAGTGAACAGAAGGATAACATAATGAACTATCATGTAGAACTGTGTGTAGAGCATTAACAAAAAAAAGTTGGATGGACCAAAGGACACAGGTGATAACATTATACAACCATAATCCAAAATCAATATGGGGCGTATAAAAATTGCACATATTATATAGATTGTTCAAATTTAAAGAGGTATGATTCAAAAGCTACATGTACATGTAAATCTGCTTATTGCAGGTCTCTCTTTACGCCTTCAATGTTATATAAATTATTAATTAGGCATCCATTCACATACCAAGCACATACATATAATCAACTCTCGATGCCATTAGATGCTCCAGAATTTCAACAGATTTAAACAGGATTTGCAATCAATGATTTAATTTAAAAATGGATAATCAAGATTTTGTTTATTATCGTAACAACAGTAGCAATGACAATCATGATTATTCTGTTCTGCAATTGACAATAACTCTGCTCAGAGTGAAGTGATATGACTGAAATTTTCAACATATTCCCTTTTCATTACCCATTTATGACCTATTACAGAGAAAACTGTCAGTTCTTTATCTATCAGTTCTTTATCTACATGTATATCTTACATAATCCATGTTTGACAAGTAAAAATTCTGCTTTAAATAAATTTATAAACTAAATGTAAAGAACCGGTTTTCTTTTCACCCGTTGCTTGACAAGTTACTTGACATGGTTCGGTCATGTGAATCTGTTTAGGTCGAACTACATTTAAATCACTTGGATTAGATAAAGTAGCTAAATCAGGCTTTTTATCCGTTAAATGTCCTTTTATATGATTATTTAGGTTTCCACTCTGAGTGAAAGATCGTCCGCAAATTTCGCAGTAATAAGGGCGTTCACCAGAATGCACTAGATCATGTTTTTTCAAATTTCCTGCAGTTTGAAAAAATTTGCCGCAAGTCTCACATTTGAACTTCCGCTCCTCATGTGTTATTTCAATATGGCTGGCAAGTTTTTTATTGGTCGCAAATTCCTTTCCGCAGATTGGACATTTTCTTTCTCTCTGATCCTCTTGTAACCCATCTTTGTTATGTTTACTGCGATAAACTTTTCTCTTTTTGGGACCTTGTCCATCAGAGCCAACAGCAGTGCTTTTATAAAATGTGTAGCCTTTACCTGTATCCATTGCCCCAGAAACAAACCTGGAAGAAAAATAACAGGACTTTATACATTGAACTACCGGCACACTAAAGGATATAACTGTTGAATTTATCAGATTGGAATCAATATGGGGGTGAAATGAAATATTCTGAATTTACAGAATCAAGGTTTGTTTGAGCCCGGACACAAGCTCCAACAAAGTAAGACTGTAAAAGATCACTTTTCTTAGTGCATTCCCTGGCTTCTAAGTACATTATAATCAAACAGGGGATGACAGTGTACAAACCTATCTGTTGTATCATTATGGATGATTTATTGAACAATTCATCAGTGAATGTTGATGTTCAAACCCTAATCAATAGACTAAAACGTAAGAAAATATCAATACTGGAAGACAATATAGCCTGTTGAAATCAAAAGAATAAAAAATACTGAAAAAATAAAAATAAAAACGTAGAAGTTTACCAAATCAGTTATTTGTTGGTAGAATACACAATAAAAGGGGGTCAAATCTAAAATGAGATCAAAATTCCTGTCAAAAGCCAGCCATTGTGGAAGGGAGATAACTCAATGATTAATTATGAAATATAGTACAATTTGGAGGTTTGGATCATCCCATACAATCCGATATTCTGAGAAACGTACAATAAAAGGCTAAACCATGTGAAATCAAAATCCAGTACACTCTCATTGAGTCTCATTTTTTGTAAAGTTTTACTAAACATTTCAATCACTTGTAGCCAACGTTTAAGATAAATAAAATATGCAATTTCAAAATGACATTGGGCCATAAAAAAAATATTTGTACTTGACTTAAAGTAGCTAAGTCTCTAACTCAATATCATCCAAAATCTTCGACATTGAAAACACAAATTATTTGTCAATTTAAATCAACATTGATGTTGTGATCTTGCCGGGAAAAGATGGGCTTCTAATATCCAATATTTAAGACAAAATAAACATTTTACCATTGGTACACGAATCGTGTACCATAATGCGTTTCAGGCCCATTCTAACAAGGGACTCGAAGAACAAGGCTAGACATTCAACAAGTCATGTCAAACGGTAACGGCATATTCATATCGGGAGAGTATGCGCAATAAATACTATGTAGACTAGAATATCCAGAAGCTAGAAATTTTCATTTGATTAAGACTTCAGACATTTCGCCGAACGTAACTGATTTGAAATTAGAGTACAAATGGAAACAATTGAATGTAAATCAGTTTATATATATTCATATTACATTATTATATGCATTACGATCCATTTGTGTTAATTTCTAGGTCCAAAATATTAGCGATTTAGCTCCTTTAACTTCCTCATTGTATTTGTGCCAAAAGCAAAATATAAATTTTTTTTTAAAGATACATTCCAACGAAATGTAGTTATTTCCAATAAATGTATGACAGATTGGGTATGGAAAGTAGAGACACCGAATATTACTAGCAAAATACTGGATTCCCTGAAAAACACTCATGGAGCGTGCACAGGACAAAAATGTAAGTGTACAACTAACTCGCAACCCGACAGTTTATTGGCTAGCAGTTGTGATAACAGTGAGATACTTAAATGTACAGCAGACTATGTGGCTAAAAAGCGGAAAAAGAAGTTGGCAGATAATAATTCAATAATTCACTTAGACTTTTATCTCTCTCAACTAGTCACGTATAAATAGAGCCGCTTAAAATAGATTTTTATGACTTATGGTAGTTTGAAGCAAATGTCTGATAGATAAATTAGTTCGAATATGTTTTAATTCCAAATATACAGGTATCATCAAATCACACAATTTGTTCGTGAGAAGGCATCTTTAAAGGTGAAATCTCAGATATATTTTGATGAATAAAACAGTTCAGAAAGACACCTCCAAACCTTCATGGACAAATTATGGCCTTGGGCAACTATATGAAACTTTGCGATGCTTTTTCGAAAAAATACAACTTTCAGTTTTATATGTGAGCTTGACCATAAGTCACCAATTTCTGCACTGTGAAAGTGACTGTCTATATGCTAAGCAAAGTCATAAATATAAATTGTCAAAACTTCCCTTTTAAAAGTCACCGGAAAAGGTTCATAAATTTTTTAAATAATGCAAGTAATTATGTCAACATATACTTTCCATAAGTATAACACGAACCCGAATGTCAATATTAGGCCTACCTGCAACAGGTAAATTTCAACGTTAGCAATTTCCGCCATTCTCCGTGGATAGTCGTAACTTTCTGCTCATATTCTAGTCTATATTTCTATGTGCAGAAGGACTAAAATGACGTCACAGATTATCGACGGAAAGTTCCGACTACCGACGGAGAACGGCGGAAATTACTAATGTTGAAATTTACCTGTTGCAGGTAATATTGACGTTCGGGCTTGGGTTATACTTATGGAAAGGATATGTTGACATAATTACTTGCATTATTTAAAAAAAAATTGATGCTTTTCCCACATGGGGTCAAAAAAAGAAGGGCTTAAAGTTACAATTTCATATCATTTTCAACTTCAAATTCAAACGTTTGAAGATAGCTATTCCATGGTTGGGAATAGGAAATCAAGGGAGGTAATTGGGAGGTAATTGTATTATTATTTTCGGTGTGAAGATTTTTAAGTGTGAGAAAGATAACCTATGCTCGTATAATAGTGAGTTGACAACCTATTGAGCAAAAGACATAGAAATAATTATGTTTTGACTTTCTTAGAAAATATGAAATTTTAACTTTAAAAATGATTTGATTGTAACTTGCACCGCTAGTCTGAAATATCTTACCTCTCCTGTGCCTCTGATAGATGTTGGCTGAAAGATTTTGGCATATCATTATTATTTATGTGAATCTGTTTTGACTGAAAATCAGTTAGATTAGAAAAATCAGGCTTTTTATCAGCTAAATGGTCTATTATATGATTATTCAGATTTCCACTGTAAGCAAAACACTGTCCGCAAATTTCGCAGTTATAGGGGCGTTCACCAGAATGCACTTGATAATGTTTTTTCAAATTTGCTGCAGTTTGAGAACCTTTGCCACAGATTTCACATTTGAACTTTCGCTCCCCATGTGTTATTTCAATATGTCGGGCAAGTTTTGGATTAGTCTTAAATTCCTTTCCGCAGATTCGACATTTTGTTTCTCTCTTGTGCTCTGGCAACCCATCTTTGTTATATTTACTGCGATAAACTTTTCTCTTCTTCGGTTTGGGACCTTGCCTATCATCAGAATTAATAGCTGTAGTCTTATACAATGTGTAGCCTTTACCAGTATCCATTGCCGTAGAAGCAAACCTGGAATGAATAAAAGGGGTTTTACATTCTACTTTTCTACTCCTACCAGGTTAATGAAGTTGACCAAGTGCCATGCAGTGTGCAATGAGTGTAATTTTGCCCAGACAGTGGTGCTACAGCTTACTCTTACATCGAATTCCAACTGCCAAGGGTTCTTTTATGTGCATGCTAACGACTATATACTGTTCCTTGCCAGGAATTCCATCCTGCACCACTGACATTTGAATCCCTACATTTGAAAATAAAATGAGAATTAACGTCCTACTGTTCTGTTCCTGACCAGGATAATGAAGACAGGCATACGCCATACAGTGTGCTATGAGGGAAATTTTGCCCTGACAACAGTGCTATGGCCCACTCTTATATCGAATTTCAACTACCAATAAGAGATCTTTTACGTGCACGCCAATGTGTACACAGGGCTAGACAGATGTCATTATCAGACCCTACAACCTGCACCATTCTAAAAGTTAGTAAAGGTAACGGTACCTCATCTCTCGACCTTACAATTTTCAAAATGAGTGAAAGTTTGGTACTGTATGCGTAACAGCCGTAATACATCCTAACTTATGAATGAAATGCTGAAGTCACTTTTTAAAGCGTTTACTGTAATTTCTAATCAGTATTATTTGTCGAAACACTTGAGCCAGCAGGTAGCACGATTTACCCAAATCCACCATTATTTCAATTTTTAATTTAAATTCGTAACGTTTTTGTTTCAAAAAAGTCCTTCAAAATGCAATTTCCAAGCATGCGATTTCGTGCAATAAGCTTACACGAGTTATGTCCCTTGGTTACAACTTCCAACTTCCAATATCAAAAAATGAGGTTGCAAGTTGAAACTAATAAGCGTAAACACTAACTCCAAGTTGATGGATTCTTGGGGGGAAAAATTTGTTTGTCCCTGGGGGCATCACCAAAGCTTAGTTAGTTCCTTTAGGAACGGTTTCTGATCGGACGAGATCAGGATCATCAGCTAACATCGTCCGATCAAACTCAAAGATCGTTGCTAAATCATAAATAAACTACACCAAAGCTCTGCTCACAACTGTCTCAGAATAGTTATAAAAATGGTTTATATTTATGAAATGAACATCACAATGTTAATACTTGGAGAATTATTCAATAAAAAAATTGACAACGAGCGTAGTGTCAAATTCAACAAACCCAAACAACCATGTGAACGGGAGATAACCACTGAAATTTAATAATACAATTCGGTGACTTGGATCCTCCCATATAAATGATACCTCAACGGATTGAGTCCTGCATCTGGTTATACCTCCATTATAGACAAATCAAGCCTATTGATTTTTTTTATCAGCCCTTGTGATCTGACCGATGACCAATACAACGCCCCCTGCACGGCCGCAGTTTGTCATTAAATGTAAAATTACGAACAGAAACGTTTTGTAACATTAAGTATTTAGGCACAGTTTTAAAAAAAATTAACGTTTTCATCTCGTGTATTACTCTTTCCAGGGGCGGATCCAGGAATTTTTGCAGGAGGGGGCTTGCCAGGTTCCTGAGAAAATGTACCCCCCCCCCTCGGCTTGAAATTTTTTGAGAAATACATGGTCTCTCTCTCTCTCTCTCTCTCTCTCTCTCTCTCTCTCTCTATTTTGGCGTATATACATACACATTGATCTTTTTAAACAGAGAAATCCAACATCCTGTTTGACGTCAATTTTTATTATGAATTAATACGACGACATTGTGATTCAATTTTATTGATGCAAAGCATTAATTGTGATATCACTTACGTCTATATCATTATCTTTCGCTTTCAGTGCCCATCCTGTCGCACCATCTGACGATAAAGGATAAAGCACAATTATGACACTTTTCTCATAAAAAAGTTTGTTACAAAAACAATTTATGTAGCCTGCTTTTGTCCAAAAAGTAAGAATTTGCTGTTGACAAGTGTTCAGAATTCTCCATAGCATTTCTACAGGAGCAAAGAGGGTCATTTGATATTATGCATTTTAGCATTTTGTGAAGTTTTAGGTCACCTTTGAGATTTCGTTATTTACAGTTAAGAATTTGATTTTGTCTAAATCGCCTGTATAATAAAGTTCAGGTGATGGGTGTAAAATATAGTTTTGCCTAAGCTTTGATTTAAATTGTGACAGCGTTAGTGATTTTCGTATAAGTTGCTAGCAAGATTATTCCAATCTTTGATACAAAGAGGAAAAAAAAGAGTTTTGACAGTGTGAGGTTTTTGCAATTGATCTGTTTAATATTGTCATGGTTTCTCAATTAATATGGATGATGAAATTTGAGGTGGTACGAGATTTGAGAGGAATTTTGGAACAAGGTTATTCATTATCTTATAGAAAATTACTAATTTATGTTGAAAGCGCCTGAACGAGGGAGAGAGGTGTAGCCAGATTCTTTAAGTAATACCTGGTGGGAAGTAGGGGCGTGGTGACACGTAATTTGATTGAAGAATGGTATCCCTGAGGGGGTGTCCAGGGCAGGGGTGACAAGATGGCACCCTAAAGGAGGGGTGGGGGGAGGGCGTTTTCTCCTCTTGGGGTTTAAGGGATCCGGAGGTCCCCCCCCCCCCCGTGAAATTTTTGTTGAAATTTTAACCTGAAATTGTGGTCTGTAGAGTATATCCCGGACGAGAAGTAATATACTTAGTTCTAAGCAGAAAAAACTATCACAGAACGGGGGCCAGAGGGAAGGGGGCCCCACTGCCAGTCCGGACCCGATGATATCGGTTCACGATTCTTGTCAAGCGAGTTGGTTGAGTTAGAAACGGGGGCCCGACGAAAATATTGGACAATTAACAAGGCCGCTACCTGTCAACCAGAAATAATATTTCGGGTTTCGGGTTATGGAAACATTTCTGATATCAACTACCTAATAATTTCAAAACTCATCGAAAAAAGGCCACTATGTTTCACGATTTCATTATTTTTTTCTAACAAATCGCCCGGCCACTTCGGAGCTTGAGCCCAAGGCATTTGCATCTGTTGCCCTTGCCATGATCCGTCAATGCTCCCTCCCCCCCCCCCCCACCGACAATTTTTGAAAATTGGACGGCCGCAAACGCGTTTTCCAGCCCAGAAAGTCGTTCTCTAGCAACAAATGAAATGAAATGGGGTTGAACCTCCTACTCCGACCTGGGCTAATGAAGACGGGCATACGCTATACAGTGTGCTATGAGGGAAATTTTGCCCGGACAGCGGCACTACGGCCTACTCTTACATCTAATCCCAACTGTCAGGGATCTTTTACGTGCACGCCAATGTGTACACTGGATCTCAGTTTTTCGTCCCATCCGAACGACTAGACAGCTTTCCTTGTCAGGCCTTCCGTCCTGCATCACTGAAAAGGGGGAGCCACGCCGGAAAATCTGGATGAACTTTCTCCGCCATTGCAAGGATCGAACACCTGACCCCCAGGCTAGCGAGCCAGCGTCTTACCCACTTAGCAACAGTGACCCCCTCTAACAAACATTGAACATAGTGACACGACAGGTACCCCACGATAGTGGGCCGCTGGGCAAGTCAGTACAAAATATATGGCAGATAGATGTCAGAACATAACCAATAGGCTAATATGAGACTGGGTGCAAGGCACCACGTCCCCAAATCAATACTGCACATGATCCCTGACTGCTGTCTATTACAAACAGTAGGTATTTTAGAGCTATGGTCGACAATTGTTTTTTCGGAACGGGGGGGGGGGGGGCAAATTAATTTTTAAGTGGCGGGGGGGGGGGCACTGTCCCCCTTGCCCCCGGCTGGCTATGGGGCTGGTCCCTCCCAATGCCGCCGAGTAATATTGGGTTGTGTGGAACATGCTAGAGTTGATTTGTAGAATATCTGACCCACGGTATATGTTTGACACTGGTTGAGCGTTATGATTATGTTTATAATGCTGAAAACACCATAGAAACCGCATGATTTTTTTGCCATTTCCGAGGGGGCGCAAAAACTCGAAACCATGACGCAAAGCTCGTCATCGAGTTATCCTGGTGGGAAGTGCCTCTTGGTAGGTCGATGATTGTTCGCCTTGCATCGAGATTGAGTTGTTCTAATTTTTCTGTCTTTTTATTAGTACAATGGATCCAGACGACATCCGCATAGTAAAATATTGAAAGAATATAAGATTTATATAGTATCTCGAGGGTTTTATTTTTTAATCTGTATTTGGGAGACCAGAAACTGTTTACCATGGTAGTTATTTTGCTTGTAAATAGTCGATATGTGTATCCTAAGTAGCTCGGTTATTTAAAGTTACAATTTCATATTTTCTAAGAAAGTCAAAACATAATTATTTCTATGTCTTTTGCTCAATAGGTTGTCAACTCACTATTATACGATCATAGGTGTCATTCTCACACTTAAAACTCATTTACACCGGAAATATTAACACAATTAAATCCCAATTACCTCCCTTGTTTTCTATTCTCCACCATGGAGTAGCTATCTTCAAACGTTTGAATTTGAATATGAAGATGAAAATGATATTTTTGCCAATTTCTCAACTGGCAATAGTGAATTATAGGATTAATAGGATTATTCTTTAACAAGGTAAGACTGTTTATAGATAACATCTATTTTAAGGCTTTATTTTAATAAATTTTAAAAATATAACTTAAACATATGAAATTGCAACTTTAAGAAAACGAATTGGCTAGAATCATCTGTTATATTATACATGTAGTTGTTATGAAAGGTAGAATGTTGACGCAGACAGCTTCCTTGAAAAGGTCAGCCTTTTAGTTTTCGAACGGTTGAAATCTACTTTCCATTTGATTGACGAATTCAAATTGAGAATTTGCTGAGTAAGAAGAAGACTTTTGATTATGAGAAAAAGAGAGGTACCGTCTGCGAAGTTGCGTATGATGGATTTGATATCATCCACAATTGTAGCACCATGGGTTGTCTGTCAGACACGGAGAGCGGACACCGGGAAAACCGATCGCCACACCCGGCGTGTAACCCATGCATCGTTTCTTACTACATATTTTGGAACAGCCCACGATCGTCTAGTATTGTCTCTGTCCGCATTTGTTTCTTATTTTCTTCTTAGGGCTCCACTTTAAATGTTTTGTATTTATTCTTCTACCTATTCAGTTTATGGTTACCCACATGAACAACAATACCACATTTCGGTTCTACATTTTTATATTAAAGCACTGCTACATACAGGTTACATGGTTACAAGCATTATAATAAAGTCATTCTCTCAAACCCCATCCAGTCAGACTGCGCGAGTCTGCTGATAGAGATAATCTTCTCCCTTCAAGAACTACATGGCTGTCTAACAATCGCGCACATCTCGAGTATTTTTCTACGCTTGGATTTTACCTACCCATTTCCTTATTGGTCAAATATGACGTAATTTTAATCATGTGGTCGGTCATGCTTCATGCCTTGCATACCAACAGGGACTTATTCCCAAATTTTGTCAACAGACACATTTCATTCTTGACCATTAAGCTAGCATATGACAAATGTGTTTATTAACCTATAGCTCAATTCATGTATCATATCAGCACAGACTTCCCTTCTGTTTTCCTCACAATATTTCATAAACAAATTAATTTGCGTTTTAAATAAACTCATACCATAACTAATATACTGACAATGGAAGATATAAATAAAACATATGTATTTATCAAATTATAACTCATGTCTTCTGGTGCACTTATATTCGTCTAATACAATTTCGCATAAATTATCAAATAGTATTACACAACATCGTTTATGTGAATTATTGAAATAAAATTATAACCACCATATGTTATTCCCGAAACGACCTCTCTTTATCTCTCTTGCTAAATTAAACACTGAAAGTCCGAACAACGAAGTACATCTGTAACCCTGATGTTACTGGAGGAAAGTATAATTCCCTACTCCTGGTCCTGGGGCATTAAAACTTTTGTTAGTCACATCTGTATCTAAGGGAGAAACTATATCCAAGCTGAAGACGAAGTAATGCTTAAACCATCACTGTGTCCAAAACCTTTGCTTCAGTGTATCTTGTTTCTCGATCACCAACTATGTGATTGGTATATGTGAAGAGGATGAGCATATAGATAAATTTTGGACACAGGCTACGT